TCCCATCTGCTACTTTTAGTCAATTGAAAAAAAGAGAAGGAACGTTGATAAAATGTATTTGTTTATTTATTTATTTTCTTTTATCTATAATCCTTCTTTGTCTTGACATGGAAACCAAGGTGGCTCAGATCTTTATTTGAGACAAGATATATCTGAATAGCATGATGATAAAGTTTAAAATTAAATAAACCACTATATAAAACTTCAATAATTTTTAAGAAAGTAAAATACCATACTGAATGGCAACTTGGAAAATCAAATGCCTGTTCAATTTTTAAAAATTCATTGCTGGTGGATTCATTTTGAAAAAACAAATCTACAGTACCGTATTTAAAATTATTAATGAATAATAATTAATAAAATAATCATTCTAGAGAGATGGGTCATCTATGGTCTGGAAGATCAAGCTGAGGTGGATCATCTATGGCAGGGTTCCCCAAACTAACGACCAGGGGCCAGATACGGCCCTCCAAGGTCATTTACCCGGCCCTCACTCAGGGTCAACCTAAGTCTGAAATGACTTGAAAGCATACAACAACAACAACAATAATCCTATCTTGTCAGACAAAAGCAGGTCCATACTTCCCATTGAAAGTTTATATTTGCTAAAATTGTTCTTCATTTTAATTATTGTATTGTTTTTGAATGTTTTTTCACTTTAAATAAGATATGTGCAATGTGCATAGGAATTCATGTTTTTTTCAAATTATAATCTGGCCCTCCAACAGTTTGAGGGACTGTGACCTGGCACTCTGTTTAAAAAGTTTGAGGACCCCTGATCTATGGTCTGGAAGATCAAGTTGAGACTTGCTTTGCCATAAAACTGTGCAGTGGGAAACAAGACCAAGCAAGGCGGGTAACTTGGCTGGGGCTTCCCTGTTCCTGGCACAGCCTAGATAGAAGAACCAGTGCAGCTGTTCAGCCATGCTGAATTATTGTATTGGCCATAGTGCGTAGGTGGATGTGTTGATCCACCCATCATTCGTTTGCCCTGTTTTGAAGCATTCTGGCATCTTCCTTCTACAGGTTACCCATATTAAGTTTTGTAACCTTTCCTGGCATGCACAGTTATGTTGGATTCTGACATGCTGCTATGGACCCAAAATATTTACAAAAATACATCTACACAGGGAGAGGTTTCAACTCAGACACTCCTTTGGCCATCTTCATGGAAAAATCTCTGTCCAGAAGCTTGGACATCCCAGTGGGAAGAGCATCTGGTCCCTGAGAGGAGGAGAAGCAGGAAGCTGGGTGTGGGGAGAAAGGATTGGCCTCTGCAAGCTTCATTCCCCAAAGGATTTGACATCCACAAGGTCTGTTGAAGGGTTTGTAGTCTTTGCAAAAGGCAGTCTTCTCCCTGGAGTCTGTGAATACTGCTCTGGAGCCAGAATAATGCTGTTTGGGTGGATCGCCTGTGGAACCACAGCGACCACTGCTGATTTGAACTTCAGCACTTTGCGCCAGTTTCAAAACAGGCCTAGTTGAAATAGGAAACAGTGGATGCAGGTGACAAACTTTTCCTCAAAACACTAGCTACCTCACAGGAACATTAGATAAACATTCAGCAGGGCTTTAAGCTTTGATCCATTCCTAGATCATCAGGGAAGGAAGCTGATTCTTCTTTTTCTGCAGTTCATAGATTCTCTAATAAACTACATATCTTTCTGTGAATACTCACCCTCATTTAGCCCGTTTTTCACAATGATTCAAAATATCTTACCAGAAATCAGGACACGGAATCATATGGCTCTACAGAGATTATTAGACTGCAACTCTCAGTGTTTTTCTCCAATTGACAAGGAGTGCTGAGACTGGCAGTCCAAAGATGATTACCACCTTTGTTATAAATTGTTGATGTTGTTTGCCTTCAAATCATTTCTGATTTAACGGTACCCTAAGCTTTTCTGGGGTTGAGAGAGTGTGACTCACCCAGGGTCATCCAGTGAGTTTCCATGGCTGAGCAGGGAAAGAAACTCTGGTCTCCAGAATAGCCCAATGCTCAAACCACAACACAACAAATACTTCAGTATAATTGCAAATGTGTGACCTTCCTATTAGAAATCATCTATAGTTTTCTGCTCCATGTATATGCACACACAAAAGACAATGTTTTTGCAACCCATCTTAATTAACAATCGTACTTTACTGGTGCTGTTTCTATATCCACCAACACAGTTTCAACCAGCTTTCTCCCAAGGGCTGCCTTTCAGGTGTGATGCCTCCTTATGACTGTGTAGTGCAATATGTCCGATGGAGAAGACTAGATTAGAGTCCTTGGGGTTTCCATTAATGTGTATTGAAAGTACGAAGAAAAACTACTTTGGGTTGTTGTGGGTTTTTCAGGCTATATGGTCATGTTCTAGAAGCATTCTCTCCTGACATTTTGCCTGCATCTATGACAGGCATGCTCAGAGGTTGTGAGGTCTATTTTTCTGTTATGAGATGTATATGACACAACAGTTAAGGAATGTTAAGGACAAGCTAATTGTAACTATATATGCAAGCCACTGTTACTATATATGTATTGTGACTACAGACAAGAATAGGATACAACTGAATGGCTTATAGGCAAACAGCAAACCATATAAAATAGTTCTCAGCCCGTGAACCTTATATTCTTGGATCTAGCTCTCGCATGTGACTGGGCAGGACTTTGAGGCAAGGGCTGCTTTGTTTTGAGAGGCAAGCATGAAATCGTTTGTGGGGTTGCTCCAAATCACATTATGTCCTTAGCTAAGAATCCCAGGAGCTGAAAAAGGAGGGAGGGAGGGAGGGGTGACAGACAACTGTGATAGACATCCAGCAACAGGTGATGAATGTCAGTGTTGCAATGGTGTTGGGCATGCATTTGAATGGTTCAGATCAGATGTTTCCTTATATCCTGATGGAAAACTTAAAAGATCTGCTGCTGCTCACTGCCTCCTCCATTCTCCCACACCAAAACAAATAAAATAAAAGTAAAGAGTGGCTGTGATAAAATTTGATTTGCATTTGCATTTAACAAATTGGTATTTACATGAAACACATTAATGGCATGAGGATGGCCTAGGGTGGGTGAGGATCTTGAAACTCTCTGTGGCATAGCACATAGAAAGGGAAGAGGAGACAGGCAGGTATAGCTACCTCAGTAGAAAACCAGTTCCCAGTTTTTTTATCCATCATTATTCCCTTCTCCACGCATTTTTTGTATTTGCTGTGTTGTCTATTAGTCTAACTTTCTTCCATGTCCCATTTTTGTGCTGGGACAGCTCCCCTTCTTATCATTTCTTGCTCTGAACTATTCAACCTACGCTTTGGGGCATGGATGTAGAGTTTGTTTTGCTTTGTTCTTTTCTATTGAAAACTGTTTCTGAGTAAACTCTCAGCTTTCCTCTGTTTTTGCTCCAATTCAGTCCTCCCATTCCATTCCTGACATTCAGTCCCGATTTTAAATTAGTGTTGCCTGCTTTTCATTTTGCATGTTTTGTCCCTTAAAGGCATTTGAACTCAACTGGGCTTACGTTTAAGTATGGAGGATTATATTGTAAAACTGGGTAGGTGTGAAAACATGAATAACTGGCCAGTCTCACGCACCTGAAGCGGGATAAGAGTGTTATGAAATCAGAACAAACTCAGTTTTGTATAATTTTAATACTAGGTAGGGTTAGATCAGTGGTTCCCAACCTGTGGTCTGTGGACCACCAGTAGTCCACAAAAACTAAAATATGGTTCACAGCCTCAGCATTACTACACCGTTGCAACGAGAGTGACTAGTCTCACAAAACCCTCTTACAATGCTGAGGCCTATTAAATATGGTTTTCTGTGGGCGAGCAGATGGTGACTACAGGATGGCATATGTTCTGTATCAGATACTAGAGCTGATACGGTCTATCCAATGCAGTTTTCTGAATCAGCACCCCAAATAACATAACCAAATCTAAAGTAGACCAAAAATTGATTCATAACCCTTTTAGCACTAATGTTGGAGAGTGGTCCCTGGTAAAAAAAAAAATGGGAACCACTGGGTTAGACCAATTGGTTATTACTTGGACTGGAGATCACCAGGGTTCGCCAGAGAGGGATAGGAAAAAGTCTTGCCTGAATACCTACAAAGAAGCTTCCCGTCAGAACTGCCCAAACTGTAATCAATGGACCAAATGCTGTGACACAGAAACCTTCCTAAGGAGGTTTCACTGTCTCGCATTGGGTTTTGTTTTGTTTGTTTGTTGTTGTTTTGCATTTCTCCATAAGCAACAGAAGTTAAGAGAGGTTTCAGAAAGAATGCAAAATATCCATTCAACTTCAAATTAGCATAACTACAAATTACTATAAATCATGCAGTCCATCTTTTGTTATCATAGATTTTAATTCCCTTGGCAATTAATGTTTTTGCACAAAATGTAAAATGTCCTTATTATCTTTTAAAGAACACAACAGTTGTTGCTGTGTGCCTTTGAGTTATTTCTGCCTTATGGTGACCCTAAGGCGACACTCTGAAGGGGGTTCTCTTGACAAGATTTGTTCTTAAGGGGTTTGCCTTGATCTCCTCTGGGGCTAAGAGAGAGTATGACTTGTCCAAGATGACCAGGGGATTTCCATGGCTGAACAAGGGATTTGAACCCTAGTCTCCACATTAGCTCTCAGCATTATACCTTTAATATATATATTTCGTCCAAACCTTGGACTTTTAAAACAAGAATATAAATACTCGGTTCAGCATTGAGGAGATGGCTAGAGTTACTTTTCCTCCTTAAGTAGAGAGGGTACTTCCTTGAATATTCACATGAAATGACATTTGAAAACAGCCACATAGTATACCTTAATTGCACGAGACAATAAATAGAAGAAAAGAGATTTATTGTGGGAAAAAGGTTTTTTCCTCTTTATTGATAGGGCTGCCCTATATTGCATGGGTAGTACAGGCTCATAACAGACAATGGAACTGAGGCATTTTCTCCTCCACCAGTGAACTTCTCCAAGCTTTCTGGTCCCCTGAATTCCATATTCTGCTTTCTTTCAGGTTGTTGGTGGGAGCACCACAGGCTGCTGCTTTGCCAGGTCAAAAGGCCAACAGGACTGGTGGCTTGTTTGCCTGTCCCTTGACTCACGAGACCAATGACTGCAAACGCCTGACTATTGATGAGGGAGGTAAGGAAGCAGCCTGGTTGCGTTGGTTTGAATGAAAACAACATAAACTGTCATTCAGTATTGGATATGGATCAGGCTTAATCTGGGATTACCTCCGAATGTAAATTGGACACAATCCCCTCCAGAATTTGATAAAATTACTTTTTGAATTACAACAGCCACAATTCCTCAAGTAGAAGATCACACCTTTACCTCCTATGTATGGTGTCATTTGTGCACAAGGCAAGGAATGTGCCTGGAACCTGTTTCATTCAGTACCAGTACTCTGGTGAAGAATATATGAATCAAAATTAAGAAAAAAAAACATCACTGAACATGTAAAATATCTCAATATAACTATTGCCTCCTGCTCTCATGGTCAGAAATTAGAGATGGGGTCAGCAAGTTCCCAGGGTTGGGGGTCTAGATTGTTACCCAAACTTATCTGGGCCATACATAACCTTAGGTCTTACCTTTGCTACAACAGAGGTTTTAAAAAGGCTGTGCTCTTTTAAGAACACCATTTTTCTTTAGAACAAAGCGGTTTCTTGCTTCTTATCTTTGTTTACAACTAGATTAATGCCTCCAGGGGGTTTCTAGGAATATGCATCTGTTTAAAAATCTCTCTTTGTGTGTATATGCATATACATTTCTACTGGTTTAAAGTCAAAACACTGCTTTTCTCATAATGGGGCCAAAGGACCATTAGGATGTGGAAAACATGACCAAAAATGGTTGGCTGTATGTACAACCTGTGGATGCCCATTCATTATCCACATTCTGTGGTTTGTGGAAAGGTTTTCTCTTCAAGGCCTTATGTTTTAGAAATTTGGCACTAGATGAACTGAAGTTAATTAAGATCTACATCTGTTCCAATTCAGTAGAGATTGGATATGTGCTATTTATGGGATAAGGGTGTGATGAGGAAGAGCTTCAAATGGAGCTCACCAGAACCCTTTACTTGATGTTTATTCAATATTCATAATCTCGATTGGAACAATAGTTGTTGTTGTTCTTGTTATTATATTTATGTATACCCCAATTTCCTCTCTTAAACGAGATTCAATCATTGTGTGATAATGTAACTTTCCCTCTCACCTTGTAGCTCCAACTCCATGTTACCCCCTCTGGAGCTGCTGTTAGTGTTGAATTTGTATGTGTTCCTCCTATGCATAATTAATACAGGCAGTTATAAATTACAAACAAGATAAGTTCTGTTGGTTTGTTCTTAATTTGAAGAACTGGCACTTTTTAAAGTGCAACCCCAGCCACACACATGCACACACAAATTTGAAATTTTGAAAAATGTGGCTTGTTGTGGAAACAAGGATCGGTGATAAAACTTCAGTGGAGACACCTTTTCCGCATGGTAACCTTTTCAGGAGTGGATTTCCCTTCCTGGGGGTAGATTTCTCTCACTTCCTATTGTCTCGCCCATGTTTGTAACTACAAGTCATTTGTAAGTCAGATGTTTGTAACTTGGGGACTGGCTGTAGATGCTTTGGGAGTATTTGAACAAAAGAAGTAGATTTGTGGGTGAAGTTAAGCTCCTTCCCCATTCGGTGACCTTAACCCAAACAGAGTTCCATGCATGGAATGATCTCCAACAAAAAGGAAATGCAGTAGAGCGCCCACCCACAGATCTCTTGTGTAACATGTGTAGTTGGTTCTTAGTTTACCTATCATGTGAGTCCTAAATGTGCTTGGCTACCTTCTAGCCTATTATAGTAAGAGAGGATAACGTTCTCTGTGTGTTTTGCATCAGAAGACAGTCCACTTCTTAAATGGAGATTGACAAAATTCCTCATTTCTTGCAGTTGATCTGAAGAAGGAGAGCAAGGAGAACCAGTGGCTGGGAGTCACCGTCAAGAGCCAAGGGCCTGGCGGCAAGATTGTGGTCAGTGGCCATGGCTGGCTGGGTGGGTGGTCATTCTGTTTAACCCCTTTGGACCCAGATTGCAAAGTGTAATTAGAGTATGTCCTCTCCCTTAGAGCAGGAGATGGGAACCCTTGTTATAAGTTGTTATTATTATGGGTATGATATATTCAGAAAAATATATCTTCTTTATTGCACATCTCTTGGGTACAAGGGGGTAATTTCCACCACTTTTTCCATATAAGAAGAGCCATGCTCTCCAAGGTATGTGAAGATATCTGAAGTATCTGCTTTGCTTCTTTGTGTAGCGAAACTAAAGGACCCTAGATCAGGATGAAGGTGAAAAAATCCCTACTCTGGTAACCCATGTGAACACATTATTCTTGACTAGACTGATCAAAGGATTTTGTGGTTTCTTACAAGCAACAACATAAGGTTTTGTAGACTTCAGATCATTTCCTCGGGTGTGTGTCATATTAGAAAAGTGTGGTGGGCTCTTCTAACAAAGAATACAAACTTTTGCCAGAAGGAGACATGGTGTAAAGAGATCCATACCTAGTAATAGGAGTCTCATAGGCTGAGGCTGGAACAAGGTCAAATCAGCTAAACCCTCCCTGGGCAACATCCCTGGAAATAACATACCTCTGGACTGAGTAGCCCAATGGCAAGGAATCTGACCCTCTGCCTGTGCCTGGTCAACACAACCTGCCGACCTAGTGAGCTTTTATTTCAGCTCTGCCTTTTGACTCCAGGATTGACCCTGGGTTGGAAACACCCTTCTTCCTACATCCTGTAGTTTGCTTTCAATGTGGCTTCCACACATCCAGGGTGGTTTCTGGCAAGGTTTTTATTGCATTTCTCTCATTCAGTGGATTTGAAGAGAGATCCAGACAGTGTCTTCTCCCATTTATAGCCTTCCTGACTTTTTGCACAGCTTTCTCCAACTTTCCACTTGAAATCCACTAAGGAGGAAAAGATGGAGCAGCTGCCCTGTGTTTATTTGTTGATTAATACTAAGAATTTGCCATCTGGAAACATCCTAGCAATCCTTCACTGAAGCCTCAAATACTACATTCCAGGAACAGAGACATATCAGTGCCGAAGGGGAACATAGATTTGTTTCTTTCTGCTTTGCAGGTTAGTTTTCTTCAAAACTGAATCCTAACATGGCATGCCTTTTAATCCACTGTCTTGTTGTTTCCCTTTTCATGTATCCCAGACCTGTGCGCACTTGTATGAAGCACGGAACCGGGTAAACGAACCTCTGGAGACAAGAGATGTGATTGGCCGCTGTTATGTACTCAGCGAGGGGCTGGAGGTTTCTGATGAATTTGATGGTGGCGAGTGGAAGTTCTGTGAAGGGCGGCCACAGGGGCACGATCGCTTTGGCTTCTGCCAGCAGGGGATGGCAACTGGCTTTACTGCAGATAGGCATTATATCCTGTTTGGAGCACCTGGTACCTACAACTGGAAGGGTAAGCTGACAAACATGCCCAGCCCAAGGGATATTAAACAAGATAGAGGCCACTTTGGTTTTTTAGCCCAGCTGAAAGCTGCAGTAACTTCCAAGCAAATGAATTGAATGTGGCCACTGGCACCATTCTTGCCAGTTATGATGATATATTCACATATTTGCATTCATTGTCAGTCATAGAAACACAGAAGGAGCACCGAGTCACTCCACTACATCCTAGTTGGATTGGTAGTATCCTCCCAAGGGTTCAGATGAAATCCCTCACCAATCCTACTGGAAAGACTAGGGACTGAAATGGAAATTTTCTGTATTCAAATCATATGCTGTGCCTATGATTTATAGCCTTTTTGCAATGCAATCAATATTGCTTGTCAGACAGGTTCTGAGATGGAAAAAGATACTGAGTGTGCTCATTGGATCGTAGGCTTTCTGCTGCTCAGTCTTGGTTATGTCCACCTCCAAATACTCCAAGGAAGACTTAGGCCCTTCTACACTACCATACAATCCAGATGAACAAAAAAGATAATCCACATTATCTGATTTGAACTGGATTATCTGAGTCTACACTGCCATATAAATCCATCTCAAAGAAGATAATCTGGATTTTATATGACAGTGTAGAATGGCCCTTAGTGGAGTATGTGCCAGTTTAAAATTTCAGTTCCCTACTGGCAAGGGAAATTGGTAGAATTGTTGGAAACCAAATCCATTATGTGTGAAGCGAGAAACTCTTCTGGGCATATCTGTTTCTTTAACATTTGGAAGACCCTGGTGTGGAAGTCAGAGGACCATTAGTTTTTCAGATGGTTTGGACAGCACTTCCCCATAATCTCTTATCACTGCCCACACTGCCTAGGCCAGTGGTTCTTAACCTGTGGGTCCCCAGGTGTTTTGTCCTACAACTCCCAGAAATCTCAGCCAGATTACCAGCTGTTAGGATTTCTGGGAGTTGAAGGCCAAAACATCTGGGGACCCACAGGTTGAGAACCACTGGCCTAGGTCTTCTGGAAGCTGACATCCAAAATATCTGGAGGGCTAAAGTTTCTTCACTTTTGCCCTAATGAATGTTCCAGTTCTCAGCCGCATGTAGGCCTGTTGAATAAGACAGTTACTTCTTCAGGTCTCATTTAAGAGGGGGATAAACTGAAGTGCTTCTGTACCACAATACATGGGTCCCTTACTGTGCTGTGAGGCTGGACATCTCCCTGCAACTTTTCCATCCTGCCAATCACTAACAGGAGTTTGGTTTGGCAGGGACTATACGGGCAGAGCTGAGTGGCTTGGATTTAAGTCACTACGACGACGGGCCGTATGAAGCCGGGGGAGAAAAGGACCAGGACCCCTCGCTCATCCCCTTGCCTGCCAACAGCTACCTTGGTATGGGGCTGTGCCCAGCAGAGCAAGCACTACAGAGCGGTCAAGCAGGCCAACACAGGGCAGGGCATAGTCAGATCTGGAGACAAAAATTACCTTGATGGAGTGGGGGAGGATTATGGCTTAAAGCAGAGTCATACATTTAACCAATAATATGCCCTGGGCAGATCCACTGTGGTGGAGTCCTCAATAAGCAGGGGTTTTATTCTTTTGATCTTAAGAAGTCCAACATGGGCAAACCATTGTTCGCAAAGGGGATCATAGTTAGGTAGAGCTAGAAAGAAGCCCACCTGAGGGTGCTGGGCATGAGTTTGGCCCATGTCCTGCCAGTCCGGCTCAATGCTCTGTGGTGCTTCCCTGCCTGGGTGCCAAAGTTTCTCATGCTGCTAACCCTCTTTCTCTTTCTCTCTTTCCTTCCGTTGGCCTTGCAGGGATATTGTTTGTGACAAACATTGATAGCTCAGACCCTGACCAGCTGGTCTATAAAACGCCAGAGCCCAGTGAACGGGTCCCCGGGAGTGTTGGAGACGTGGCCCAGAATAGCTACTTAGGTTTGTAAGGTGTTGGTGTGCCCGTCTCAGTGGTTTCTCCCCCTTGCCCCTCTCCTTCCTTCAGTACTTTTTTAAGCTAGTTTCTGTTGTTTCCCCCTTATGTTGTGTTTTGTCATTCCCCGTGCTCCCCCTTGGCCCAAGAATACGTGAAATTACAGCTCCTGAGTACTACTCCTCTCAAACAGCTCTGTGCATAGGTCTTTCTAAGGTTGCTATCATTGTTGTTGTATGCTTTCAAGTTGTTTCTGACTTATGGCAAACCTATAGTGGAGTTTTCTTGTCAAAATGTGTTCAATAGTAAGACATAAACAATAGAAGCAGAACAGAATAGATGAGATGTTCGTTGACTAGGAGGGGAGATCAGTGAAAAGTTTTGTAATAATAATGATTGACCTCTAAGTGTAACTTAATTCAGAAATGATTAGCATAGAATTATCTGTATCAAGAATGTTGCAGACATGAAATTGGATTTGTGTTTTAAAACCTATGTCAGGAAGTGGTAAATAATGTGACAGTTTCCGTGTCTCTTTCAGAGAACATGCTATTCATCCTGCCCTATGAGGAAGAAAACTTTGTCCTCTATAGAAATGAAGGCATTTGTTAATAGTTGCTTGCTTTCTTCATATTCCAAAATAAATATGCTTCGATTTGAATGCAGCATGAAGGTTTTAATACTGTGAGTGTGTATTTGTGCATTTGAGAAGGAACATAATAGAAAAAATATATGCAGAGCTGAAAGCTTGTAAATTTACAGCTCTATGTCATTGAAAGAATAGAAAATATGAATTAGCTGATTGTCATTAAAATAAGTTACCTTAGAAAGATGAAAAAATAGTCTAGGAAAAGGGTTACCTAAAGTCTGTAGGCCACAAGTTCTTTAATGCTGACACCTAGGAATGGGAGCCCCCGGTGGCGCAATGGGTTAAACCCTTGTGCCGACAGGACTGCTGACCGAAATCCAGGAAGTGGGATGAACTCTCATCTGTCAACTCCAGCTTCCCATGCGGGGATGTGAGAGAAGCCTCCCACAGGATGGTAAAAAATACAGGTGTCCCTTGGGCAATGTCATTGCAGACAGCCAACTCTCTTACACCAGAAGCAACTTGCAGTTTCTCAAGTCACTCCTGACACACACAAAAAATACAATATCTAGGATGGAAAGAAACTTGCTGTGGGGCTATATTAGGGAATGGATATAAGGCTACAAAGACCAGATTTGAGCTTGATCTCAGAGTTTCTGTTTTCTTAATACTTATGTGTTCCTTAGAATATTCAGACCTGGAAACCTGAAATGTGGTCTTGTTAAGAGTTAAGCTCTTTTAAAACAGAGTTGTTTCTGGGAGAAATAGAACCACATTTTCCCAGTGAATTTCCTGCAAAGTGCTTAAGCCTGACTGGATTATATGTTGGCTTTCTTAAGAAATGAAAACGGAGATTCTTGTGCGTATATCTCAAATAATCCATGACATTTTATAAAAACAAACAAAATGTAAAACCGGTTGAAGGCAAATTGCCCAGTGCATCCATTGGAGCATTACACACATGTTCTCATATTTACATTATAGTACTAAATAAATGTAAAAGAATAAGAAGTTTTATGGAGGCCATGCAGAGAAATGATATCAAATGAAGAAAACTGTGACACATGTTACAGCAATAGTAAACATTTTAGACACCATTACAAAAATTACTTTCACTGCAGAAGGAAACCAGCTTTCCTGAAGATAGAAATGAGTCAGGGGCAGATGGTGGGCTTCAAGAACACAAAAAGTTAACAACCACAACCTGCATTATAGGGCACTATTCCAAAATGGTATGAACTGCAGCTATAGTGTATACATAGATCTGGAAGCCAAAAATGTATCAGGAGAAGAGAAGGTGCTACATTCAGCTGTGGAGGAGTAAAAAAATTATGGTAATATATACGTATTACCAGGAAATGATCTGATATCAAATGCGGTTTGGATTTCAAAATAAAATCCATAATTTGAGCAGTTATCCAGATGGGTCCAGATGTGACTAATAATCTGGGAAAGTGCAGAGCAAATGAAGTTAGCACTTAATGCTAGAATGAGAATGGCTGTTTAGATTTTACCACAGTCCATTGCAGTGCTGAGGTAGTATGGACAAAATGGTAAAACGAGAGAGGAAACCCCAAAGCAGTCTTTTGTGGTTGTGTGCTTCTTGTCTCATATTGTTTCTGCTCAGTTGCATGAAGGCATCTATGTAACTTGCTCTTGGCTACTAAAAGGTAGAAGAGGACATTCAACGGATGGCCTTATTTGACATCATACAATCCCATACCCCATGCTTGGTCCATCACGTGGCCCTCCCCTCATACACTCTCATCAAAGGATGGGAAACAAATGGCCATACAGATGTTCTTCATTAGTAACTTTCATCGTCTTTAATTATGGATAGTACTAGCTTAGGCTAAGGGGAATTAAAGCCCAGTCACACTTGGAAGGCCAAATGAATAGCACCGCTGTGTACCCTGTTCCTATTGGGTTTGTCAAAAACCAAAAACCTAATGATAGAATGTTTAGATTGGTATCAAACTGCTAACTGTAGATATACTCCCATATCCAGATTTGTTCTCTTTTCCATTCCCTGCCAAGGAACCCTGTTACTAGTTTGCCTAAGCAGTATGCATACTGCTTAGGCAAACTAGTAACAGGGTCCCTTGGCTTCTCACTAGTTGTCATTTTGCCCGCAATGGCTCAGAACTGGGTGGGCACTGAGTTCTTCTGATATATGCCATCCCAAAGGTAGAATTAGTATCACGCCTTCTGTTTGAAAGCAGGCTCTCCAGCGTGGCTCTTTAAGGGGCTATTTTATTCCTGACCAATCATTGCATCTTCAGTACAGAGGATAGAGAGTTCTGGAAAGGTCTTCCCCCTAGCCTGTCTTTTTTTCACTTAATCCATTTTAAGTCCCAAGAGGGACTATGGCTGTAGCGTTGGCAAACTGTGGCTCTCTAAATAGTCTTGCACTGTGACTCCCATCAACCTTAGACATTATAACAAATGAGGAGACGGCATGAAGTTGTATTATAACAGTATTTATTTGGCTACAATTTGCCCACCCCTGGGATAGAGACATCTAGGTGTCTCAGGATGTGAGGAGTGAGGCTGAGGGGAGAAAAGGGGATGTGCGGGGTCTAATTTCCATCTTATTCAGAAGGTGACAGGTCTTGTGTGCCATTTCTGGATGGTCCCCTTCACAAATTTCAGAGCAGAGCCCCCCATTCAATCTGCTGTTTCTCAGCCTTTTACTTTGGATCCACGAGAGGTTGCGTAATTCTTATATATGATACAGTATATGCATCGCTGGCCAGAGTCCAGTCTTCATTCCTGGACTTTCTCATCCTCCAAAGTAGTGGGAAGAAGGCAAAGGGCAAAACTATTATCAGAGCTTATGAGAGCTGACCGCAGAGAGATCATTTCACATAAAGGGATGATTAAAAAACAAAATCTTTGTTTTGATTTGCTTTAATAAAGTGTTTCAATCCCTTGCTTCTCTTATAACTCAGCATGGGAAGCAAGGAGGTGCTATGAGGGGGGCAAACCCCTGACTCTGTGACTATTTAAGATTGTTTTCTTAAATTTATTTATTTCTTTTATTTCGTGTGCTTAAAGCCCGCCCTTCTCAACCCCCGAGGGGGGACTCAGGGCGGCTTACAAAAGGCACATCTTGGTGCCTACACAAATACAATAACATATAAAAACCAGCAATTAAATGGTCAACAATTAAAACACTTAAAACAACAATATATCACACAATCAATAGCCAATCTCAGACACAGCGTTCACCAACTCAGAGTTCATATTTCGTTCCACCTTGTCCAACTCCTATCCATCGCCACAGTCCCTTAGTCATCTGCCAGAGTGCCCAAACGCCTGCTCCCACATCCACGTCTTTAATTTCTTTCTGAATGAAAGGAGGGATGTTGCTAAAAAGTATCCATTCGACACAACTAATCAGAATGAGAGCAGAAACAGAGAGGAAAAAAGAGAAGAAATAGATCCTTTCCCAACTATCATAGAGGAGACATGGGGGAAGAGAAAGCTTAGTCTGTACTAAACTAACTAACTGCTTCTCTTTGAGGACTTGAGACTTGGACAATGCGGGGTTGAATCCCAACAAAACTAGCCCAGTTGATACCCTGCTTCTCTTGTATGTACTGTGGGCCTTTGGTTTCAGGAGCCTCCATGGATACCCACATCATTCATTTAAATGGGGAACAGACAGCACAATGCAAGTCTACACTTACCATAGCCAGAGTGATCCCCATTTTCCCTGTTCCTGATTAGCCATAAGTTGTTCATACATTAGTTCTGTGTGACAGTTTAGTAGTTTCTGCTCCAAAGAGACTGCTGATGATACTTTCTAGACTGTGGCTCCTCCATCCAGCTTGTAAGTTGAGCTGAAGATTTAATAAAATCACTCTGCCTCTAACTTTGGATACATGTGATTTTCCCTCATATGAACCATCCTGAAACAAGGTGTGAACATTTCAGTTTTCATTTTTTTCATGTAAGCAAAGCAGTGGTGATGTTTTCAGGTGTGCACATGTGTTTGGGTGTGTGCTCACATGCCCTGAGTTCAGAATCAAGAGCAGAGCCAAATGTTCCAAAAGATAAACCAGCATTAACATCTGCCTATTTTAAAACTCATTTAAAAAATTTCAAACAGCTGCTAATACTAATACTGTGCTAAGAAAAACCCTTCTCTCTGCTGACTAACACACCTTCCTCTTCTTCCAGGATTTTCTCTGGATTCTGGAGTGGGGATCATCAGGAGGAATGAGCTGAGTTTTGTAACCGGGGCACCCCGAGCCAACCACACTGGAGCAGTGGTGATCCTGAAACGAGACAATGTCAACCGCCTGGTTCCTGAAGTTATCCTGGAAGGGGAGAAGCTTACCTCTTCCTTTGGCTATTCTGTGGCTGTGGTGGATCTAAATAATGACGGGTGAGGAATCTGAGATGAAGGCAAAAAGCCCTTTTTCCTGAACGGCACAGGGGCATATTCTCTGTTTCTAAAACTACTCTGCATTGCTTTAGTGTTGAATGCTTGTGAGCATAAATCATGAAAACTCTAGTATTCTTATTAGCAATTGGTATTGAAACTTGTATCATCACGACTGATGATACTTGTTTTGCAGATCTTGAATTAATATTTTTTGTGCTTTATGTGACCATACCACCCACATTATTAGAGTCTGTTATTTAGTGGATGGAGTGCCAGGGTATAAAGTTCAAATTGCCATTCAAGTGAGAAACAATGACCCTATGCCCTTAACTCCAGAAAATGTGGAGGGTTGACTGTATTTCAACCAGCCACTGTAGCAACATGATGCAACAATATTAATAAAAAAATTGTCTTTGTAATATGAAAAATGAGGCCTTCCTGGTTTCAACACATCAAGTTTTTGGTATTGGCAGAAGAACAGACTATGCCATTTCATCCTTCTTGGTTGACAGTCCTACTAAAAACATACATACATACATAAAATGCTGTAGGAAAATATGGGAATAGTTATAATATTGCTTGAAATTTAGAACTCCATTGTTTCAAAAGGTGTGAAACTAGCAATTGGAAATAAATGAGAAATAATGTATTCTTAGAGTTTCTAGGTAGGTGGCCCCCAGTAGGGAAGAAATTAAGAACAGAAGAAGAGCTATGTTAGATCACACCTACATAAGAAGACCTGTGCTAGATTAGATTTATCTAGTCCAACACTCTTTTTCCCAAAATGATACTGGAGAGAATATATATCTCTTGACTAGTAGCTGCTGTTAGCCTTATCTCCTATGGGTTTGCTGAATTCCCTTTTATCACTGTGTCTTGTGGTGGTAGATCTAATATATGGCACAGTAGAATAGTTGTAAATATTTTGTGGTATGGTTAGAGTAATTTACTCATAGTCACTTATTTGATGGCAGCTGTACTCTTGAGACCAGTAGGTATTTCCATGGCAACTGCACTCACAGCTTGTTATTTCTAGCTGGATGGACCTGGTGGTCGGGGCACCAAATCTCTTTGACCGCAAGGAAGGGATTGGAGGTGCCGTCTACGTGTACATCAACCAGGCAGAGCGCTTGAAAAATGTCATCCCTGTGCGCCTCAACGGCTCCTATGACTCTATGTTTGGTATCACAGTGGGTGCTGTGGGTGACCTCAACCAAGATGGCTTCCAAGGTATGCTCTTGTGGGAATGGAGCAATTGTGGGCACTTGAACTGGTCTATTTTGACGGCAGTGGGATGAACTTCCAAATGCGTGTATTTAGAATTGTGATGGATGGTTAGCTCTTGGGATTAGACAGGAAGAAATCCATTCATAACCTTGAGAAAGCCAGTGTCTCACTCTGTGTGTGTGTGTGTGTGAGAGAGAGAGTGAGAATGTAAGAGTGTGTAGTGATCTTAGGATGTATCTACATTTTTCGCTCTCCTAGTTTTTGTGGTACAGAACGGACAAAGGGAAAGCATGTATATGTCCTGTAGTCTGCTATTAATATGAAGTTGTTGTGTAAGAGGCTGAAATTAGGCTAACTGTGCATGAAATATGGGTGTGGGGTGTTCAATGCTGATGGAGCTGTTTTTGCTTTAATGTACTACCATAACATGGTGATGATTGATTCTCCATGTGGTCCATTAGCAATCAAGTATGATTGTGTAGTGTGAACTGGTCATGTCTATGAAGGTCTGTCATCCAGAAATGAGGAAGTTAGAATGGGGTCACTGGGGTGTGAGTGAACTATTACTTTTTTTCCAGACTTTGCGGTTGGAGCTCCGTTGGATGGTGATGGCAAAGTCTATATCTACCATGGCAGTAATTTGGGATTTGTCACCAAACCTGCTCAGGTTTGTTTAGCCTTTTCCCTGCCTTGCATTTGGGGTGCATACGTGGTTTTGGGTGCCTTGATATCCCTGCTTGTCTTTCTTCTCTTCCTTTCTGAGCTTCCAACATGTTGATTCCCACTCTCCCATTCTGCCCACTTGTCCGCTACAGATCCTGACTGGGGAGAGTGTTGGCATTAAAATGTTTGGTTACTCCTTTTCTGGTGGTTTGGATATTGATGGCAACATGTACCCAGATCTCCTTGTAGGATCACTTTCCGACACAGTAGTCCTGTACAGGTAAGCATTAAAAGGTGGAGGTAAATCCTCATCAGTCATTTTTCACAGTGAAAACTATATTTTGCACAGTGAAAACTGTAACCCATTAATTCACCCTATTTGTTTTCCATCACTACTGTCGCTTTGAATCCCATCCATGGGAAAAAAAACAGAATAGAAATTATTATTATTATTATTATTATTATTATTATTATTATTATTATGGACACATCAAACTACTCTGGGACTTCCAAATTCAGACAGACAGAGTATTGGAGCACAATACTCCTGACCTCACGATTGTGTTAAAAAAACAAAGTATGGATGGTTGATGTTGCAATCCCAGGTGACAGCAGGATTGAAGAGAAACAACTGGAAAAACTGACACGTATGAGGATTTAAAGATCAAACTGCAAAGATTCTGGCACAAACCAGTAAAGGTGGTCCCAGTGGTAACAGGTGCAGTGCCTAAAGTCCTTGGCCTGCACTTAAATACAATCGGAGCTGACAAAATTACCATCTGCCAGCTACAAAAGTCCACCTTACTGGGATCTGCACGCATTATTCGCCTATGCATCACACAGTCCTAAACACTTGGGAAGTATCCAACGTGTGATCCAGTACAACAGCCAGCAGAGTGATCTTGTTTGCTGTGGACTCATCTTGTTGTGTTTCAAATAATAATAATAATACCTCATTTCCATGTTTCTCTTCCTAACACAGCTCTCTCTTAACTAGGAATCTGTTAGCCAGGAAATTTACAAATGGATGGTCTTCCTTTTTTATTGAAAGATCATTTCATCCTATCTTCTTGGAGATAATGAAATCAGGCTACATTTGAACTACAACTGTAATCTACAACATTTGGAGCATGCTGTGTTGGGTAGGGCAAGAGTAAGTGCTTGGATCAGGGCAGAACCAGTTGTATATAGTCTAGTAAGGCAACAGTAAGACTACCCTGGAGTGACAACAGTGCTCCAACAAGCCCTGAGCAGTGTTTGGGTCACTTGGAGCCCCAGCCACTAGATCCTAGCTGCCTCTCCACCCCCATCTTTTAGATACTTCTTGTTCTCAACAGTGTACCCAGACCACTGTTCGAAAGTCTAGCTATAATACATCAATGGACTAGCTAAATAATTTTCTGAGGCTACTGGTTACCATGGGGGAACTTGAACTATAATCTTTAGAATACCAAGGACTAGATTATTAGTAAACAGCAATCCAAATCCAGATAACTAAGACCATGCTTCACTAACAGTCAAACTTCTATGCAAAAAGGCATCTGCTGTTTAGATTGAACTTATCTTAAGAAAATTGTGATATCAAGTAGTGTCCCAGTCCACATGACTTTTCAAGATTTGAGACTCCAGTTGTTTACAGCTGGCCAATTCTCATTTTAATATCCAATCTCTGTTTTAGATCACGACCTGTGATCCACATCTCCAGAAATGTCACAGTCACCCCCCAGAATGTTGACCTGGAGAACATGAATTGCCGCTATTTTGAAGGCATCTGGTAAGGGGAAGAAAAACCTCTCTTCTTCCACCATTGAACCTCCTTGTCTCTGCCACTCCCCCTTTCCCAGCTGATGCCAAACTGGAGTTTCATGGATATGTTGGCACCTTATTAGCAGGGAAGTGATGTCCTTTCAGCTATTGAGGGTTAGCAAAGTATGGGACTGGATGCCGTTTTTTTATCCCTTCAGACCATGTCTCCCTACTGCAGTGTCAAAGTTTAGTGGTGTGATTTCCTGCTGGACTTTGGCATTCAGATTGGAGGCTGCAGCTTTGGAGGTCAAGTGTTGCCCATTTCTGTTCTACAGGAATGAACTGAAAAGTTTGGGGGAAATCAAAGCTTTCTATTCTGAACTGTAGGGAGAAATCAAGGTTATTTATTTATTTATTTATTTATTTATTTATTTATTTATTTACAACATTTCTACCCCGCCTTTCTCACCCTGAAAGGTACTCAAAAAGGTTAGCAGAAATGAAAATACCCATCTGGGCTAACTGAAACCCACTTCAAAATATTTGTTAGTTATAAAAATGCAGTAAACCATTCGGGGCTGAGGGGGATGTGGATGTGGTAGTGGCGGGATTGGGGAAAATACTTGTATTTTGACTGCTGAATTTTGAAAATTGTATGTTTCTATGTATGTATATATATATAATAAAAACAATTAAAATGGGTTTAGAAATAAAAATGCAGGATGTGATTAGTTATAATTGAAGGGCTTTTTTAATCATGTCAGAAGTGACTTGAGAAACTTCAAGTTGCTTCTGGTATGAAATGTGCTGTCTGTAGAGACGTTGCCCAGGGGATGCCCAGGTGTGTTACCATCCTGTGGGAGGCTTTTCTCATGTCTCCACATGAGAAGCTGGGGCTGATAGATGGGAGCTCCCCCCGCCTTGCGGATTTGAACCGCCGACCTTCAGGTCAGCAGTTCAGCTGGCACAAGAGTTTAACCCATTGCGCCGCGGCGGCTCCTAATTGAAGGGTGAAGTGGGAAAATAGATCCCTGGTTTATTTTAGTAGGATGCAGGCCTCATATATGTACAGCACATGCAGCTACATATCTGACCCAAAGAACTATGACACCCACCTGGCAACTCTGTAGCACATCAAGTGAGCTTCTGCTGTCACCAGAACAGGTCAGCCATATGCTTGTGGACCCTCCTTGTTCATGATTACACCAGACCTGTTTGCTCTGAGCACACATACTATTTCTTATGTGGCCTACTGGCTGGCCTCATTTATTCAGTGGCAGTGAAAATTCACTCTCCTTGACCATCCTAATCCAGTGCTATTTTGGGACAACGGAGCTATTTTATCAGAATGACTCAAAAGGTTGAGACTCCCAAGTCCCACCCCTGAACTCATGAAATAAGACAGGCATCTCTGTGCTAATTCCTTTCAGTTGCTGAGTGAGTCTCCTCCTCTGTTTCCTTCCATAGTGTGGATGTGAGAGCCTGCTTCAGCTACACAGCCAACCCTCCAAGTTACAGCCCACCCATCAGTGAGTATTAGCTGGATCCTACCAACATTAATGGCTACATAGAGAGCCTTGTGGTGTCCATTCTTCATCCCTCTTAGTATATCCTTGATATCACAACATCAAGGAAAATGTCACATGATTCAAATGTGCTGTGGTGGGTTTTTTTATCATATCCAGCATTGCAGGACTGTCTGCAGGACCAACCTATTTCAGTGGTGGATGCTGCAAGGCAATGGTTGTGCAGGCACGAAACCATCCTTCTGAGTCTGCTAGACTTTTGTTGGAACAGAATGCTGCTGTGTGGCATAGGGTCTATCTTCTAGAATTGAAACCAGTTTGCTGCCTCAGTAGTGGCGGTAAACACTTTTCCAGTCCTAGTTCATTTGGTTCTGCATGTGGGAGATGACATCCAATCCTTTTCCTCAGGCTTAGGTTAGCCCTTGGTGACAGGCAAAGAAGCACCATTAAGTAGCAGGCCTCAGCCTTGACACTAAGAAAATGAGCTTCCTACTTCTTCTCTCTCAGCATCTCCCCTACTCCAAACTCACAGCTTCCACTCCTTCCTTCAGCTCTTGAATACACTTTTGATGCTGATGCCGACCACCAGGAATTACAGCGAACTCCCAGAGTCATCTTCCGCAACCGGAGGACCAGCGACCCTGAGCATCAGTACTCAGGGACAGTACAACTGCCCCAACAACATGTCCGTTCTTGTGTCAAGGCCACTATGCAGCTGAAGGTGAGTCTGCATGCTAGAACATGAGGGACACTAAGGGAACGGTCAGCATTTTAGTATCACCCAGCCAGAATAGTTTTCCAAGCTCAGCAATGTCAGAAAAACTATACATGAGGGAGTAAGAGAATATGAGAATTATTTTGCTGCCTAGAGACACATCATCCTTACTTCAAACTCCATAGTGGAACTAGAAATAGCTGAACTAGAAATGTTATTCTGACATATCCCTCATTTTTGGACTAGCATGCAATGCAGAAAAAGAATAAATTTAAACAAAAATTATATATGGCACCATGCCCAAAGTCCTTATGTAGTTGGCACATGTCGGTCATCATGCTTAACAAATAATATAATAATAATAACTTTATTCTTATACCCCGCCACCATCTCTCCAAAGGAACTTGGGGCAGCTTACAAGGGGACAAGCCCACACTGCAAATAAAAACAGCATTAAAATCAATCAAATAAAAACATAACACAATCATAAAACATCATATTAAAATACAAATAGTTTGAAAGCGACATTAGAAGACAAACTGTTGTCCTTAATGTTCGACTTTCATTTGAAACATGTCTCTAGATTAAAAAAATATTTAAACTTATTGAGGTACCTTTTAAAAACATAGCTGCTTGCTCAGAATTCTTTTTATTCTTTCATTTCTCTGTTCTGCCAGTGCAGCAATCCCTTGGCACATTTAATGTTTTAAAATTAACAAATAACAACAATATTTCAAACAAATTGCATTTCAGTGTTCCCTAATTTATCCTTACTATTAAGCACCATGTTCTTCATGAGATATGGGCCATCAACCCCACAGCTCTCCCATCCTGCCATTTGGAAAGCTGAGAGGCAGGGACATGACTGGCATTAGATGAAATCTATTTAGAACTTATTGCATGGAGAAAAGGGGTTCCCTGTTCTTAATCTGATGACCTTTATTGCAGGATCATGTCCGTGACAAGTTGCGTCCTATCATTGTGCTGGTGAGCTACAACATCAAGCATACACGCAGCAGACGCCAAACCCCAGTTGCTACCCTGGGTGCACTGTCACCTGTGCTAAATGCTCTGCCGCCCAATAGTCAGAGAACCGAGGTAAGCAAACATATCAGAGCCCTGGCTGATTTGCAGTTGTTCTTTTTTTTTTATTTCCTCCCCTCGTTCTATGGCTAATGACAAGAGAATAGGAGAAGAGAAATTGGAGCTCATTCAACCTGTACCTTCAGTGCTCTGGACATGAGCTGGAGCTTGAGCAACATTTGACTGCTACCACAAACCTTTCAAGAGTGCCTTGGAAGTGGCATCTCCTTTTTCATTTTTGTGCCCCCCTTATCTTTTGGCCGTCTGTTCCTCCTACAGGTGAATTTCCTCAAGCAGGGATGTGGAGAGGACAAGATCTGTCAAAGCAACCTGCAGCTGAGCCATAGGTTCAGTTCTCGTATTGATGATGCTCTCTTCCACCCCCTTCCCAGGTATGAGTGTGATCCTGCTTCTCTGTTGGCTCTGGTATCCTTCATTTAGCACTAACAGTGTAGGTGCTACACATTAGGCATCAATGAGCAAAAATGCATTTGATTCTACATTCTAGCATTCCGGTTTTTGCATGGAAGGGGGATGTTGCCAAGATCAGTTTTAATAGGGCAGAAGTTCATGCCTTCCTCAAAATCCATTTATCTTATCAGCAGTGGAACAGTGGAACTGAGGCTTTCAGGGTCAAAGGACATGACCTTCTAATTTCATTGAAACTACTATCATCCAGCACTTGTCCTCAGGTTTAAGATCATCCTGGGAGGCCCTGGTCTCGGCCCCACCTCCTTTGCAGGTGCGGTTGATGGAGATGAGAGACAGGGCCTTCTCAGTGGTGGTTCCTTGTCTATGGAACCCCCTCTTCAACGAAATCAAATCAACCCCGTTTCCTGACCTTCAGGAAAAAGCTTAAGTTGTGGTTTTGGGACCAAGCCTTTGACCAGTAATTGGAGCAGTGCGATAAGTGACCACGAATTGATGTGATTGACAAATGGAATGGCTCTGGATTAAGATTTGGATGGTGTGATTTTAATTGATGTTTTATTAATTGATGTATTAACTGTTAGGTTTTAATTGTAATTATTTATTTTATGGACTTATATGTGTTTGACATCAAATTGCTGCCTGTTGTAAGGCTGCCTTGAGTCCCCTTCGGGGTGAGAAGGGCGGGGTACAAATGTGATAAATAAATAAATTTGTCACATCTGAGTATAGCTACAAATCCTCAGTATAGTTTTGAATAGGCAGGGTTTTTTCTTAAGAACATGTATTGTTATGAGTTTGCTCTGTAGTAATACACAACATTTTGAGGTGTGTTTCACTTGAAAAGTATCCTATATATTTGTTCTAGAAATGGTAATTAAAAAATCAACCCCCAAAAAACTGAGTCAACTTATCCACAGGTCAATATAAGTACTGTACCTTAAGACTTATTTAAAAAAAAAAACAATTCCCGTCTCCGAGTAGAGTGGTGAAAGGTGAAAGTGTCTGTCTTGGAAGAACCTAAAAGATGCCCCAATTCCTCTAATCTCTCCAGCTCAGCACCATTCCTGGCCTTTCTGAATGCCAAAGTTGGAAAATGGTGGTGGCAGCCAAGGAGACCTGGCCCCAAGGAGAGGGTGGTACTTTCCCCTCTCTGTAGAATAACCCTTGACTTATCTACAGATCATATCAAAATCCATAGTTTTGGCTCCAAAACCTGCCTTAGATTGACTATATAGTAGTTAAGACCCATTTGCTTTACAAAACCCTTCTGTATGCATATAAAATGGGCAAAACTGGTTTGTTGCAATTGATCAACACAGTTGCCAGCATTTTTGCCTTCTTCTTGGGAGTATGGCTATGGAGACTATGATGATAAGTGATCAAACCTCACAATATACTGTGAAAGCCATCCACTACATGGCTACCAGCCTCCTCCCAGTGGACTCAAAGCAATGAAAAGCTTTATGAGAACTACCATTCCACAGCAAGGGTATCCCTCTGGGCAGGTAAACCAGGAAATCCCAACTGGATGCCCCCCCCCCCCAGAGGGTCTTCCTCCAGGGGCAAACCAAGAATGGGCAACTTGGAAGTCCCTGAACAGATTCAGAAGTGGAGTGGACAGATCAAAAGACAACCTGGCAAAATGGCACTACCTAAAAGAATTTCACACCTTGTGTGACTGTGGAGCAGAACAGACAACTCCGCATCTGTATACATGCCCACTATTCCCTGCCTCATGTACAGAGGAAGAATTGTTGGAGGTTATAGCCAATGCCATTGCTGTTGCCCATTTTTGGTCAAAAGATATTTGGCGGCCTGCGCTCCTACTATTTTTATCAGTTTTATACTAATTTATGCAATGCTTTTGATATGAAATAAAATAAAATATACCGATATACCACTAGGCATAAATTCTCTCCTTATGCACTCTTAAAAGGAGTTAGTTGGCTCAAGAATTCCTCCTTTGAAGTTGTTCTGTTTTGTGATTTCTCTAGTAGGGCCTTCATGAACGTTTCTGTTCCTTTCCTCCAGAGGTGATGATGGCTTGGACATTTTTTCCATGACTGATCAAAAAGTAGTAGCCCTTGAGATCTTCATCACCAACTTTCCTTCAGACCCTGATAATCCACAGCAGGATGGAGATGATGCTCATGAAGCCATGCTGTTGGTCTTTCTGCCACCTACCTTGCCTTACTCCGCTGTGCGCCCCTACAATGTCTCGGTATGCTTTGGTATCTGCTGCAATGTATCCAGCTGGGTGGGTGGCCAATAAAAAAAGGAAAGAGCTGGCCTGTGGGATTAGCTGACTGCTGTAGGTCTGATGGCATTCAGAACTGTTTTTCCAAAAATGAGGCAGGTATCTTTGGGGCGGGGGTGTTGGATGGTGTTTGAAGGCATGGCACTTCAGAGGGATGTACAGTTTCACTTATTTTGATCTTGTACATAAGCATTTTTTTAAAAAAAATCATAATTTTACCATCACTAAACAAAATTGCAACAATTTGTACAGAGTTTGAGAGATTTTTCATATTCTGAGACTCCCTTTAATAACTTTATAATAACTTTATTTTTGTACCCTGCCACCATCTTGCCAAAGGGACTAGAGGCAGCTTACATAATGTGCCCAAAACAACACATAAAATACATACACAATGCAATGAAAGACCAATAACAAATAAACAATAATTTAAGCTCAAAACATTAATTTAATAATTTAAGCAACAAATATGTTGCAAAGGTGCTTGAGCAAAAGCTACTGTTTTTGTTGTTGTCATGCTGACAAAAAAAGTGCTGGCATTTTGTTTTCCTGCAAAGACAAATGATCTTATAGATGACCATTTCTGATAGTATCCTGATATGCTGAGATACCTTTGCTCTGAGAATATGCTTTATATCTCTTGTGTGGGGCTATTGATCATAGAGACTTTAGAAAAGAAAGGCTTTCAGTGATAGAATAGTTGCTTTTGGGATTCAAAGGCTTCTGTTCTTCATAGCTGCACTGGCATGCTAGGTTCAGCATTTTTGACACTACAAAGAAGTACATGGATAGGTAGTTCTGCTGGATGTGATTATAGGTAAGATGTTGCATTGCTGGAAGTAGGGGAGAATGGCTCTGCAAAGTGGGATGCAATGAAAAGTACAAGAGAGATTAAGTCAAACCTGCAGTGATTTGTTTGTCTTACATCATATGGTGCAGAATTTTGACTGCGGTGATGGTTTTGTTTAGGAACAGCACACAGTAATATTCAGCTCTTGCAAACATATGTTCAATCACCTCCTATTTTACAGGGGAAGACCCCAGCCTGTGTGTCTAACCAGAATGCCTCTTATGTTGAATGTGAGCTTGGGAATCCCATGAAACGTGGAGCACAGGTGAAGTACAGAGTGATAAAGACAATGATCACTTTCACATGAGTAACCATCTCTGTTTTGTCGTAATTCTTATTTCTGAATCCCCTACCCCTTCTGCTTCTCCCCTCAGTTTCGGTTCTACCTTGTTCTCAGCACCTCTGGCATTACCTTGGAGACTGAAGAGCTGGAAGTGGGGCTGGAGCTTAGCACGTGAGTGGTGCTTTCTTTCCTCCTAAGAGAGATCAAATCAAAGGACATTGCAAGACCCTGCTATGCAATTTTATGAAGTCAACCTTGGTCATGATAGTTCAGATCAAAGATCTATCAGGTCAGGTTGCCAAACCTGTAATAGCTCTTAAGCAATGTGAGGGCCCTTCCACACAGCCCTATATCTCAGAATATCAAGGCAGGAAATCCCACATTATCTGAGTTTGGACTCAGATAACCCTGTTCAAAGTAGATATTGTGGGATTTTCTGGGATATAGGTCTGTGTGGAAGGTTTGTTCATGTTTTAAAACTGTTTATCCAGGTCAGGGTTTGTGAGGCGTCTACAGGAGATATTGAACTGTTTACATAGGGAAAGAGAAGATAGCTGATTAACATCACCAACTCAATTTTTTTTTGTTTTTGCCTACAGGACCTCAGAGCAGCCTGGGTTGGCCCCTGTAGTAGCACGTGCCCGTGTGGTCATGGAGCTCCCCCTCTCTGTTACTGGGTAAGAGCCACACGGGAAGACTTTACATTCTCTTCCATTGTCACGTAGCCCCTGATTTTAAAAGCAGAAAGAGCTTTCTTTAGATTTCTTGCCAACACAGTGTATTTAGTTGCTGAGACAATTCAACTTTTAGAGCTCTGCATGGCTACACACCTTGTGGCTGTCAAAAATAAAATCTGCATGCATATTTTATATCTTTTGGGGAATTCTGGGTTACCTTGGTGCAGAATTTGTGGGAATGGATTTGGTAAAGACATGACAGCTGCCTGAACAGCCTCTGAGCTAGCAATGGAACATGTTCTCCACTTTTGAATGATGAAATCCAAAGAGAATTCAACTGCATGTGCTATGAATCCCTGGCATAGTTCCATGCACCCATTCCTGTTTTGTTTTTTTGTTTTTTTTTGTTTTTTACTTTATCTTTCCCTAGAATGGTAGAGCCACAACAGCTCTTCTACAGTGGGGAGGTGCGGGGTGAGAGTGCCATGACGAACGAGAGTGAGGTGGGCAGTCCTGTGCGCTACCAGGTGATGGTAAGTCGTCTAAAGATCAGAGCTTTGTTTATAACTGAATTCATTATTTTCTTCTCTTTAATAATCATAATAACTTTATTTGCATCCTGCCACCATTTCCCAGAATGGAGTTGGGGCAGCTTACAGAACAGCAGAGAAAAGTTCCATAAAACACATAAAATACAAATAAATTACATTGACACTTATAACACTAACAATATCAATTAAATGTAAAATCACACTCCTTAACCCAGTGGTTCTCAGCCTGGGTTAATCATAACAGCTGGTAACTAGCATTTACCAGCTGTTATGATTTATGGGAGTTTAAGGCCAAAATATCTGGGGTCCCACAGGCTGAGAACCCCCCCTCCCCATGTCTTAGACTAACTCTCATTATCAGAAAGCATCAGTCAAACACAGCAGGGACTGTAGGGTCAAAAAGAGTAGGACCCCACCCTCAAGTAACGAGGGGAATAAGGGGAGACTACAAGCAACAAACACTATAACTGATGGGACATAAAATGGAAGTCAACTTATTTTAACTTATGTATAATATTTTGTCTTGTCTGTCTGAACTGTCCGATATGTTGATTGTTGGGTATGTACCTATGGGAAAATGTATGTTCGTTTTAAAATTTGAAAATTCAATAAAGATTTATTTTAAAAAAACACACACAGCAGGGACTGTCATATTGGGTGGGGGCTGTTTTACAGCAGACTAGTAGTTATAGTAGGAGTGAAAATACTTAGAGCCAGGAATTGGAAATCTTGTATTTTTGGGTGAGAAGGTGTGATGCATCCAAACCAGAAGAGAAATGTGGTTGATAGCAAAGACTCAACAGTAAATACAAAGATACACACTCACTTATCTCAGATACCCTATTCTATGAGAAAGGCTCATGGGAAGAGATTAAGCTTTCAGTTATCCTAATCAAGCAGATACAAAGCAGATTCTTTGTTTCTTTAAGCATTCTGGAAAATAGCTGAAAATTTGCCTTTCTAGTACCTGGTTATGGATTAATTAGGGAGTTCATTTGTTCTAGCAACTGAAAATACAGAAATACTGAGAAACATTTACACCAGATTACAACAAACCATAGTCTTCTGCACATATCATGCATGGAGATTGTATATCTGGAGATAGAAAGAAAATGGTAATTGAAGCATGGCACTGTGCAGGGATAGCGAATCTATGATTTAGATATAGCCAATAAGGAGAGATGATGGGAATAGTAGTCCTTCTAGAAACCCATTTGTTCTCAGACCCTGTTGTAGGGGATTGGGTGAGGAATGTTTCCTTCCCTTTTGGAAAGCACTTTCCCGATTCACATTTGCCTCCTTTTCTCTTGTCTCCAGGTCACAAACAGGGGCCAGTCACTGAACACCCTTGGCTCGGCCTTCCTCAATCTCATGTGGCCCCATGAAATTGCAAATGGAAAGTGGCTCCTCTACCCCTTGAAGTTAGAGCTGGAGGTATCAACGCAGCCTCAGAAACGCACAACCTGCAGCCCAGAACCCAACTCTCTGCGTCTGGCTCTGGTAAGTGTCATGAGACTGAGGCAACAAAGGAGAACAATTTGCAGTGGTTAATGGCCTTCCTATCCCACTTCTTCAGAGGCAAACACAATCTTAATATAGGTACCATGAGCTGCTAAATTTGGGACTATCTGATCTGCTTGTGGAGGGAAAACATGCATAAAGAACAGTTTCTTTGCCTGCTCCTTCAGTGGTCCAAACGGCAATCATTTATTTTGCAGTTATTCTTGTCTTCTCTAATAATCAAATTTGAAACAATGACCTGCCAAAAAGGAAACACCCTGGTTTGCAAATTTTGTGTTGTTGATATGATATTCACAATCCCAGAAATTGTGAAATACACAATCAGCTGAATTGTGTATAATTCAATTTTTAGAAGTGTAGGCCTATTTGCAAATGTTAAAGCATCTTTGTGTAAGCTTGTGTGAGTTTGCTCCACAAACCAAAGCCCAGTCCTGCTGTTTCACATTACGTCTATTTGAAAGCTTTGTCTTGTGCTGTGAAAATAGAAATTTGGTTTGACTGCAGATAGTGCTACCCACACAAAAGAACAATCATGGTTTTTGTTGCGAACCAAATGTCCACCCAAATCACTGATTAATATATTGTCGAAGGCTTTCATGGCCGGAATCACTCAGTTCTTGTGGGTTTTTTCGGGCTATATGGCCATGTTCTAGAGGCATTTCTCCTGACGTTTCGCCTGCATCTATGGCAAGCTTCTTCAGAGGTCTGCTGGAGCTGGGAAAAAGGGGTTTATATATCTGTGGAATGACCAGGGTGAGACAAAAGGCTTTTGTAAGTTGGGCTAGGTGTGAATCTTTTCAACTGACCACCTTGATTAGCATACAATGGGCTGACAGTGCCTGGAGCAAACTCTTCTTGAAAGGTGATTAGATGTCCCTGCCTGTTTTTCTCTCTGCTGTTTTAATTTTAGAATTTTTTAATACTGGTAGCCAGATTTTGTTCATTTTCATGGTTTCTTCCTTTCTGTTGAGATTGTCCACATGCTTCTTGTGGATTTCAATGGCTTCTTTGTGTAGTCAGACATGTTGATGTTCAGAGTGGTCCAGCATTTTTGTGTCTCAAATAAAATGCTGTGTCCAGGTTGGTTCATCAGGTGCTCTGCTATGGCTGATTTCTCTGGTTGAAGTAGTCTGCAGTGCCTTTCATGTTCCTGGATTCTTGTTTGGGCGCTGCGTTTGGTGGTCCCTATGTAGACTTGTCCACAGCTGCATGGTATACGGTAGACTCCTGCAGAGGTGAGAGGATCCCTCTTGTCCTTTGCTGAACGTAGCATTTGTTGGATTTTCTTGGTGGGTTTGTAGATTGTTTGTATGTTGTGTTTCCTCATCAGCTTTCCTATGCGATCAGTGGTTCCCTTGATGTATGGCAGGAACACTTTTCCTCTGGGTGGATCTTCATCTTTACTCTCGTGGCTTGTTTTTGGTCTTGCAGCTCTTGAAACAGCAACCAAAAAGCCCACTATATGGTTCAGATATGTGGATGACACTTTCACCATTTGGAGCCATGGAGAAGAAGAACTCAACAGGTTCCTGGAACATCTTAACATCATCCACCCTAACATCCAGTTCACTATGGAAAAAGAAAAAGAAGGAAGACTGCCTTTTCTAGATGTCCTAGTCATCCGCAAACCAGATCAACAATTGGGTCACACCGTTTACAGAAAACCCACACACACAGATAGATATCTACATAAAAACTCCAACCATCACCCAAGTCAAAAAAGAAGCACCATTAAAGCCTTGGCAGACCGTGCAAAAAGAATCTGTGAACCCCACCTCCTCCAAGATGAACTGAACCACCTCAACTGGGCTCTCCAGGCCAATGGATACTCCACCTCAGACATCAGAAGAGCTGCAAGACCAAAAACAAGCCACGAGAGTAAAGATGAAGATCCACCCAGAGGAAAAGTGTTCCTGCCATACATTAAGGGAACCACTGATCGCATAGGGAAGCTGATGAGGAAACACAACATACAAACAATCTACAAACCCACCAGGAAAATCCAACAAATGCTACGTTCAGCAAAGGACAAGAGGGATCCTCTCACCTCTGCAGGAGTCTACCGTATACCATGCAGCTGTGGACAAGTCTACATAGGGACCACCAAACACAGCGCCCAAACAAGAATCCAGGAACATGAAAGGCACTGCAGACTACTTCAACCAGAGAAATCAGCCATAGCAGAGCACCTGATGAACCAACCTGGACACAGCATTTTATTTGAGAACACAAAAATGCTGGACCACTCTCACAACCACCATGTCAAACTACACAGAGAAGCCATTGAAATCCACAAACATGTGGACAATTTCAACAGAAAGGAAGAAACCATGAAAATGAACAAAATCTGGCTACCAGTATTAAAAAATTCTAAAATTAAAACAGCAGAGAGAAAAACAGGCAGGGACATCTAATCACCTTTCAAGAAGAGTTTGCTCCAGGCACAGTCAGCCCATTGTATGCTAATCAAGGTGGTCAGTTGAAAGATTCACACCTAGCCCAACTTACAAAAGCCTTTTGTCTCACCCTGGTCATTCCACAGATATATAAACCCCTTTTTCCCAGCTCCAGCAGACCTCACCTCTGAGGAAGCTTGCCATAGATGCAGGCGAAACGTCAGGAGAAATGCCTCTAGAACATGGCCATATAGCCCGAAAAAACCCACAAGAACTCACTGATTAATACATTTGTCAAGTTGATGAACTGTGTTTTGAGTGCATGCTTGAAATTTGTTGCTTCTTTGAGAAAATTGTCGCACTGTGGTGTTTGCTTTAAGAACAGAAAACGCCAATATCTGCAATGCCCCTAATTCCCTGTTCTTTTCCCTGTTCTTTTCTTCAGGAGCATACTCATCAAAGTAGGAAGAAGCGGGAGGCTCAGCAGACAGAGGCACCCAGCAGGCCACTGACTTACTGGGAGAGGCGGAAAAATGCTACTTTGGTGAGTGGGACTCTGTGTGAGGGCAGTGGCAGAGGCTGGGTACATTCCACCCATCCATGAAATTACCATGCAAAGGGAAAACCCAGTGCATAGCATGATATTAAATGATACCCCAACTCCACACACATGCCCAAGAATAGAAAAGGAAGATCTGCTAAGGTGTGTCATTATAAAAGTATAAAATGCTTTTCAGATGAGCTTCTCTGTCAGAGGCTTTGTTAACTTTGATATGCATGCTACCATACAACTAAAATCTTTTTTCACCCTTGTTTTCCTAGTGAAAGTCTTCAGGTAGACTAGACTACTTCTTCTTAAAATGTGGGTCCTGATCCCAAATGTGGTCCCAGTAGCGCAATGAGTTAAACCCTTGTGCCGACAGGACTGAAGACCGATATGTTGCAGGTTTGAATCTGGGGAGAGCTCAGATGAGCTCCCTCTGTCAGCTCCGGCTCCCCATGTGGGGACAGTTTCTCAAATCGCTCCACACACACACACACACACACACACACACACACACACACACACACACAAATTGGACACCATCTATTTACACACATTTGTTAGTAACAACCTACAGTATTTACCATTGACTCTGCAAAATAGGTTTCAGCTGTACTCCACAAAAAAGGGACTCGTACTGTTTAGCAAGCCTTGCAAATGCTGATTTATTATCAGTAAATGTTTGATTTTTATACCTAGTTTATAAACCTATGTATGTACCTGGGGTCATGTAAAAATTTCCCAGATGGAAATTGGTCACAAATTGAAATAGTTTTAGAGACCCCAGACTAGACAATGTCTGCACATTTTGCCTCTCTGAAGCTATGAAGGTCTGAAACTTGTTCTAGTGGTGTAAAATGAAAGCTGGATCTCTTAAAATTCTAGTGCTTTGAATAGATCATAGTCTAGAAACCAGATTCTGCAATTTAAAGCATCATTACAGCCACTCAATCAGCAAGATGTATGAAAAAATGGTGGTTGGTAAGCACTACATATGGAAAGGTCTACCTTAAATCCAGAATGAATTTTAAATGTTACCAAGGTAGCACCATTGGGACAAAAAAACTACAGTAGAGTCTCGTTTATCCAACATAAATGGGTGGGCAGAACGTTGGATAAGCAAAAATGTTGGATATAAGGAGGGATTAAGGAAAAGCCTATTAAATATAAAATTACATTATGATTTTACAAATTAAGCATCATGTTTTACAACAAATCAACAGAAAACGCAGTCCAACACATGGCAACGTTATGTAGTAATTAGTGTATTTACAAATTTAGCCCCCAAACATCACAATATTGAAACAGCTGTGGATCTGGGCGGAAGGCAGACTATGTTGGATAATACAGGATGTAGGATGAGCGAAGGTTGGATAAGCGAGACTCTACTGTATGTATCTGCCTGATACTTCATTGTCTTTGGAAGCAGTTCAAGGTTGGAACAGAGGAGGGGCTTTACTCCATAATTTCAGAGTAAGGCACAGCCTATGGTTCTTGGCTCTAACACCATCTGCTATCTTTCTTATGTCCTGCTTTAGGATTGTGCCCAAGGCACTGCTCGCTGCCAGCTCTTCCAGTGCCCCCTCCACAGCTTTGACCGCTCAGCCATCCTCACTATTTGGGGTCGTCTCTGGAACAGCACCTTCCTGGAGGTTAGTCTTGACTCCTCCTGCTGCATGCGAGAGGAATAACAACTTAGGAGACAGGCAGTAGGTCATGTTTCATACAGGGTGTCATGCAGTATATCAGTTAGGCAAAAGAATATAAATTAGTAAAAAAAAACTGTTGACAAGACCTTACAATTAAGAAGTAGTAAGTACATCTTTACAGGAGCTGATGTGGCTTAGCCAGCAGTAACAGTGGCTTGCAGTTCTTGACCAGAATTTTCTGAAATGTCATTTTGATGAAATATTGGAGTAAACATATTCCAGAGATAATAGTACTGTATTTTTGCACCAACAGTGAAAAGATTTACTGGACAATTCAGTGACTCTTCCATATCTCTTTACCTAATATGATCACATAAGAAGGAGCATATTATTCAAAATTTGCCTGGGCTTCCATAAGTATTCTTAACGAAAGAACAAAGAAAGTGCCGTATGTTTTCACCATTGCTTTTCCTGTTGACTCACATGTATCTCTCTCTGTTTTCACTGTTATGAAAGCATATTGCAAGAGGACAAATACAGGTTGTCGTACTGATGTTTAAGTGTCCCATTGGGGTTGTTTTGAGCTTTATTCCCTTTTGTCCGCAGGAGTACTCTGATGTAACATCTGTGGAAGTAATTGTTCGGGCCAACATCACAGTGAAATCCACCATTCGTAACCTGATTCTGAAAGATGCCACAACACAGGTACCAGACTCATAGGTCACTTCTACATTATCTTTCCCTCATGTGTTTTGTGGCGGCAGACAATTTCCTAAGTTACTCCTTCCAGCTACACTGTCCATTCTTGCTCCAGGATTAAAGATAAGGAAGGTCTTGCTGAAATCATAAATACATACAATGCCAAACCACTTTGTCCTACCATTGCAAAACAGATGGACTGAAGTGACTGGCAGTGGCCAACAATATCAATTAAAATAAAAAAGTATGAACATTATAAGGTAAATTTATTATTTATTTATTTACTATACTTGTATACCGCCTTTCTCAGCCTTATCGGCGACTCAAGATGGTTTACAACAAGTCAGTACACATAACAACAAAATACAAATTGAACATTAAACAGTATAAAATCATAATAGAAGCAATAACAACAATAAAAACCAGCATCATTATCATCAGCGTCTCCTAGTTAAATAACGTTGTCCAAGTGATTCCGTTTCCTATGTTAGTTACTCTGCATTTGTAAATGCTTGCTCATATAACCATGTCTTAACTTGTCTCCAAAATGTTAAGAGTGAGGAAGCTGATCGAATCTCCTCAGAGAGGGTGTTCCATAGCCAAGGGGCCACCACAGAAAAGGCTCTGTTTCTTGTCCCCGCCAAACATACTTGTGATGAGGGCGGGATTGAGAGCAGGGCCTTCCCGGACGATCCTAAAGTCCTAGATGTTTTATAAGGGGAAATGCGTTCAGACAGATAAATTGGGCCAGAAGGGATATTGTTAATAAGGTGCAAGATTTACTTATCAGTGATGTCATGAGATTAAGTGGAAACTGCACTTACTTCCAGTACAAAGAGCAACAGAATGTTGCAGCGATACTGTCAGCCTGAACTGATTTTGGTTTGGTGACAATCAAGTCAGTTTGCTCTATCCCTTTCTGCATTCCTTTTTTTCCCCTCAGATCCCGGTGACGGTCTACTTGGATCCCGTTGTGGCCTTGGCACGAGGGATTCCCTGGTGGATCATCCTCATTGCAGTTCTAGCTGGGATTCTCGTGCTGGGTTTACTGGTTTCCATCCTGTGGAAGGTAAGCATGCTGGCCAGGGGAAAATGAAAGTGCTTCCTGGGATACTTTTGGGGGAGTCAGGTCCATTTGGCCTTGACATTGATTTTAAAAGGCTGGCTCCCCCACTTGCTTCATCATGCTGAAATGTGTGTCCTAGCAATCTTAATATCAGTATTGAAAGTGGTACTGAATTTCTTGGAGATAACTTTATTGCAACAAGAGTCCAAACCCAGCAGCCTGTCCACAATAGCTACAAAGTCCGAGAAGAACATATCCTTCCAAAATCAACACAATTTATCAGCTAGTTTTCACATTTTGGAAACAATTTTTCAATAATGAAAGGCCTAATTCTCAGCACTTTGGAATGTGATGGGAGATGCACTCCTTCAGCGTTACCTATGGATATAGGTGGATGTTTAAGGGAGCGGTCCTAGCTGGTGAGGGTTTTAGAGACCATTCCTGGGAGCTGGTCACTTGCAGGTCTGTTAATACCATTCATACTTCTCCCCATTCCTAGTGTGGCTTTTTCAAGAGGACCAGTCGGGTATCCAAATATTCCACAAACTATTACCGGGCCCGGCTGGCCATCCAGCCGTCTGATGCTGACAGGCAGGCCATGGAGGCCTAGGGTAATGCCTGTTCTGACCCATCTAACTGACTCTCTGTTTGTACGTGTGCAGGAGTGTGAACACAGATGGGGAATGGGAATTGTAAACAGTGGAGTGTTCTTGACTGTGAGCTCACTGAAAGTACTAATGCATGTACCAACAAACAGTAATACTTGAGCACTTTTGAGAATGCCTGAGTGCACATGGAAGTGTGCCCAGAGAACTCTCCTGAGCCTAACAGACAGAAGTTACTATCATTATGGTGTGCATGTGGGTTGCAACGATACTGACTGAAACAATGCATGATCATGAAAATAAATCCCATTACTCAAGGACTTAAGGAAACTACCTAAAATCTGAATGGAATTCTGAAAATGTTTTGGGAGTCAAGCACATGCATGTCAAACAACATGTTATCAAGTGTGAAAAGCATTAGCTGCTGAAGTGTATGCACTCGAAGGCACACTGAGGTACAACACCCTTGGAATAACACTTCTGCCTGCAACAGTAAAACAATTGTTCAGGAATTCTGGAAGTTAAATCACCAAGATGTCTTACCTGGGTAATATAGACAGTTGAATCAGGACTGATGATACCAGGGCTGACCCAAGACATTTTGATCCTTTGGAAGAACAAGATTGCCCTGTTCTTTGTTCCACAAGAGAATTCATTCTGTTGGTCAGTCCCAAACGATGGAATTCCCTTGCGGAGAGCAAAGCTGGCCACCTCTGTACTTTCTTTCTGTTTACAGGCAATTTTTTTTTTAATGTAGGCTTTTGGCTGTTAATTGGCTGTTTCAGAAACACTTTAAATGGGAGCGCTGTATCTTTTATCTCCAATATTATGTTTTAAATGCCTTTGAACAAATTTAATTAGTTTTTAATAGAATTTCTTATTTAGCTGCATTTTGACTTATGCTGCCTCAAGTTATCAAATTATGAATTAAATAAATAAGATATTGCTTAGAGTACAAAGTCCACCAAATATGAGGGAACAGCATCAGCTATACCTGAGGGCAGCTGGCCAACTTAGAGGATGCAGGGCCAGCCATCAGATATACATAGGCAGCCAAAACTTGGCTGCCTATCCCACCACCTACGACGGCTGTCTCATTTAATCTAATGGCAGGACTTCCTTTGCTGGCATCTGTGGGCACTTGGTAAGGCCCACAGCCCAACAGGAGCCCACTGCCTACTCCTCAGTTCTTCTGCTTCACAGTTCCCCCGTCATCTGTCCACTCTAAGCAAGTGACAAGAAAAGGCATACCTTGTCGCCTTTCCTCTGAGCAGACTGGGACAAAAGGGGAATAAAGAATAGGAGGGCAACTGTGAGAGCAGAACAGACCATCTCTCCCAGGAGGACATTTTGACTCAAGATTTCATTGATGTTGGGAATGTGTGTGAAGGAACAATAATGTACAAGGGGATTAGGAAGCATATACACCAAAAGATATTCAGATTGTTCCAGGTAACAGGAGCAGGTACGCCAATTAGTGTTTCTTTTCCTGCATAGTCCATAAGTCTATCTTTGCTTTCAACCACAAAACTTTTTCTGTATCAGTGTCAGAGTGCATGGTCATAAGGTATGTATTCCAGGTATGTGTAGGGCCAGGCAGTGGGCAGCATGACTTCCCCACCAGTCCGGTGACCACTGCTTGCACTTGGGTCAATGGCATAGTCTCTGTGACATACCTCAAGGTAGCCAAATAATTTGGGGGGGGGGGGCGGGGCAGTACAGAACAAGCACAGTGTCACACTTCTTTGACTTGAAGAGGGAGGATAGGGATGAACTCAAGAGGAATGGCTGGAGCATTGCTGTTGCCATTCCTCAGCATCTGTTGCCTGAGGATGAGTGGCTCATTCTTCYTTGTGGTAAAGCTGGTTCTGGGGTTGTGTTGTAAGCAATCTCTCTTGCTAGACAGAAATGTTTGGCATGTAAAGAAGAGTCACACAGTTCACTTTTGGTCACCAGTGGTGGATGTAATCTTTAACTTGATGGCAAAAGGACATCCCACTTCTTGCACTGCCACTTGGCGACCTGTTGATTACTTTCACTGATATAACATGGCCTCTTCTCTTCCAGCTCGGCTTCTTCAAACGTGTCCGCTATGAAGAAGCCAAGGTGCCACAATACCATGCAGTCAAGATTCCTCGCCAGGAACGCCAGCTTTTTCGTGAGGAGAAAACAGGCACAATCACCAAGAAGGACTGGGTCACTAATTGGAGTGGAGACAATGATGGTTATGTTCCTGTCTCGGCCTAGAGATATTCCCACGTTGACCTCTAACTTACGATTGGTAGAGAGCTGCTACTTGAAGGACCTTTCTGACTGGATAACAGTAGCAGTGTTTTTGCCTGCTCTTCTCTCTGAAAGATCTGCAGAATTGAGGGGAATAAATGCTCAGCAGAGATTCAAGGGGACATGTGCTTAATACTGGGGTGATGGTGGCCAAAGGCTCTATGGGTCTTTCCTGGTATTCTGCTTTTTCTTATCAAGCTGGGCAGCACACGATGCAGGAAACTGAGCCATCACCAGAAGAAACCATCTTCTTTCCCTGTTTCTGGCTCCTGTCAAAAAAAGAGGAGGAAAAGCCAGCAAGTTCCCCGCTGTTACACATTGTTATCTCCTCTACTGCAAAAGGACCTCACATTTTCTGCAAGAGGCATAGTTCTTTGGGAATGAGGAGAACCAGAATTCCTTGGATGTGTTGTAAGCATTCAAAGCCAAAACAAAACTCTGGTAAAGAAGATAAAAAACTGCTTTCGCCTGAGCAAAATTATTTTCTTCAGGCTAGCTTTTTATAATTTATATTGTTCAATTAATAATAAAGATGCCTGAAAGAGAGAGTGAGGTTAGATTCAAGAGGACATGCTTGAATCACAGAGGTTCTGCACATCGCTGTACAGGAGTGACACTAAAAGGGTCTCTAGTTTACTGTCTAATGGCTTGCCTTCTCTGAAACCAAGCATGGCTCTGATTGTTAAGAGTCACTTTTTCGCCCACCATAAAACATGCACTGACAAATACAGTATGTGTGGATTATTCAATCTAGCACAGACACAGGGCAGTTTAAGAGACACAGACCTTACTTCTTTCTGCAACAGGATAGAGAACATTTGTGACTGCAAAGAATGCAACAGGGCATTTCCAGTCTTTCCATTCTTGGCCACCAAATGGTGGTGACATCTATATGGGGCAATGCGCTACTTAGATACTCATAAGCAGGGCTTAGAAAAGTAGTCCAAAAAAGGAACTTCCCCAAAACTTGTATAAATAACTGCTGCTGACATCAGTGTGGGTTACACCCAAATTACTTGTTTATGGCTCCAGGTTCAATTGTGTCCTTTCCCCTACTGGTATGTTCACACATATACATTGCAATACTGCTATTTTCTGGATAGATTTAGACTGTCTTTAGCCACAATTCCGTTGCTAAAAATGCAAGAGAGAGGCGGTGACAAAAGTGGAGTGGAGATTCCTCATTCTCAATGTAAATGATATAGTGTAGATATTCTGAAGGACAAAACACAACTAGATCAAAACAGAGTCACGTTGAAAAGTTATAGTCAAATTCAGATATATTATGTTAAATAAAACTCATTGCCTAACAGATGTGGAAAACAGAAGCAAATCCAAGTGAGTGAATGTGGGAGAGAGGTAAACATGGCAGTACATTAATCTTTCTGTCCTATTTACTGAGGCCCCTTATACACTGCCATATAAAATCCAGATTATCTGCTTTGAACTGGATTATATGCAAGTGTAGACTCATAATCCAGTTCAAAGCAGATGATGTGGATTACCTACTTTTGAGAATCTGGATTATATGGCAGCGTAGAAGGGGGCCTAGAGACCTTTTCTAATGACACACGATTGAGATTAAATCAAAACTGGTCGGACAAAATGAAGACCAAAAAAGAAGGTATGGTCCCCAAGATGAAGGTTGACTGGATCACTCATTACCTCTGGCGGTGCAGGCAACAGTTACAATCCAATAAAATTTGAAGGGCCTTACCTTCATTTTAGAACAGTGGTTCCCAACCTGTGGTCCATGGAGCACTAGTGGTCTCCAAGAACTAAAATATGGTCTGTCACCTCACCATTTCTACACCACTGCAACGAGAGCAAGTTGTCTCGCAAAACCCTCTCATAATGCCGAGGCTTATTTAGTATAGTTTTCTGTGGGAGAGCAGATAGCGACTACTGGATGGCATATGTCCTGTATCAGAAACTAGAGCTGATATGGTCTATCCAATGCAGTTTTCTAAATTGGCACCCTAAATAATCAAACCAAGTCTAAAGTTGACCAAAAACTGATCCGTAATCCTTTCGGTACTAATGTTGGAGAATGGTCCCTGGTCAAAGTGGTCCTGGTCAAAAAAAAAAGGTTGGGAACCACTTCTTTAGAATGTAATAGCAAACACCACTGAAATCTATAGCAGTATATCAGTCAGCCTCTGGTATCTACTGGGGTTTGGTTCCATCATCAGTACCAAATGCTGTGGATGCTCAAGTCCCATTATATACAATAGCATAGTAATATGGTACCCCTTTGTATCCCTTATCTAAAAAGTTTGGTTTTGGGGATATATGTGTATATATGCATGTATAGTTGTATATATTTTCAAGCCATTGGGTAGCTGAATCCATAGGCAGACTGTGTACTCATAAGTAGTTATATGTAGCCTACTCTTGGATTAAGCAGTACTCTAGAGTAAATTAATATATGATTTCAGCCTGTAGATAAAATATAAAGCAAGAAAGTGGTGTTATTAAAATGGTCTTGATTCCCAAATACATATTTTACATATTTTAACAGGAAGCCTAACAGTACAATTCCTACTCAAAAGTCAGTTCTACTCACACCTCACAACCTCTGAGGATGCTTGCCATAGATGCAGGCGAAACATCAGGAGAGAATGCTTCTAGAACATGGCCATATAGCCCAAAAAACCTACAACAACCCAGTTCTACTGAGTTTGATAGGACATAATCTCAGTTACATTTTGCAGCCTACAGCAATCCCATACTCAAAGGCCTATAAGGCCCTCAAATCCCACCTTATTCTTGGAACATCCAAAGTCCTTCAAAGCAATGCTCCACACAGTTTTGGCTTTCTTTCAGTTCCCTTCAGACTAAACCATCTCTGATTGAGTATCCCCTTATTTGGGAACATGAAATGCTCCAAAAATCCAAAATTGTCCCCTTGGGTGGTTGAGATACCGACATCGTTTTCTGGGGTTTAAATATACACAGACTTTGTCATGTTCAGTATCTTCTCTCTGTGTGTCAAAGTATGTTTGTCAGTTTGTACAGCTACATGACTTGATGTAGCTGGACCGCACTTGGTACACATACTTTTCACTATCCAACTTAAAACAATTAAGGGCTTTTAACATTGGCGCCTTTGGGTGCAATCTATCCCTAGGAAAGGAAATTCACTCCTGAAAGAGTTATCATGGGGAAAAGGTGAATCCACTGACTGGAGCTTTATCACCAATCTTTGTTTCCACAACAAACCAAATTTTTTTCAAAATCCAATGATCACAGTGACTGAGCGTGAAGAGGAATCTTCTGAACTGGGGCACAGACAATAAAATAATCACAGGGGCGTTATCCCTTCCCTATGCTAGAGAGAGAGAGTTGGAGTTAGACTTAATAATGTACCTGTTCCAACTTGCATACAAATTCAGCTTAAGAACAAACCTACAGAACCTATTTTGATTGTAACCTGGGAACTTGCCTGTGTAGAGGCAACGAAACCAAAATATCCCCCCCCCCCCGGCCCAAAAAAAGCAGAAGCCCCCTTTCTAATAGGAAGGGCAAGGATGGACACCATGAAGGCTGAATCTTTTAAACTGCAAAAAACTATTTATTGCGTGGCCATAGCAATAACGACAAGCATACAGGAATGCAATCAAAGGGTTTGTCGCAACCTCCAATGGGGCAGCAGAGCTTTTATCTCTTTGGTAGTAAATGGAATATAAATTTTCATTGGTTCCCAAAGACAAATCAATTCATTGGTCTAAGTTAGCTATACAATTGTTCATTGGTGGTTTATGATTTTGATTGACATTATAGCACACATGGGATCCTAACAATGGCACAACTATAACACAACTATAGTCTGTTGTTCTCTGACCATGACTGTATCTTATCTGTTAGTCCATTGCAAACGTGGCTTGAGTGACTGGGAAACTTGGGGAGTACTAACTAGCCACTAGCTAGCCAGTTTTGTCCGGATGTACTGTTATCCTTGAATAGTAACTTCTTCTCTGTAGCACTGGATTCTCAAGCAATCAGCATTTTCTGTAAACATAGGCCTACTGCAGAAACAGGCCAATATGGAAGTAAATCATGACATATAAGCATTGGGAACATCTCTGAAAATTCCTTTTGAAAAACCACATCCCCTCTACCTGTATATGAAAAGTAAATTTTAAGATTTAGTCTAAGGTCCCATTTCCAAAATATCTTTCTGAATAAGCAAATATTCCAAAATCTGAAGAAAAATCCCAAAAAATCCAAAACACCTGTGGTATTTCGGATGAGGAAGATTCAAGCTACGTCGCAGGACAATCCCATTGAACTCCAGAGGTTCCATCCTTCAGGACGCTGGCATCTGCAGGTTAGCAACGCAGTCAACCAGAATTCAATTTCCTATCATTTATGACAGACCTATGATGACGTTCAATTAACTTTTAATTGCTTTTTTATATTTCACATCTTTTGAGGTCTCTCCATTTCGTCTCGGATCTCACTTTGAGAGAAAGCCATGGGATGCATCTACACCAGGTATGGGCAAACCTGGGCCCTCCAGGTTTGGGAAAATACAAATACAGCCAGCCTTCTCCAACATTCACTGGGGTCAGATCGCTTAAGCGGCTGAGGGGGAAAAGGAAGGGGCCTGAGGCTGTTAGGAATGGTGAGAGTTGAAGTCCAAAACTCCTGGAAGGCCCAGGTTTGCCCATATCTGATTTACACTGACAAATTAATACAGTTTGACACCACTTTAGCTGCTTAATGCTATGGAGTCGTGGGAGTTGCAGTCTTACAATGTCTTTAGCCTTTTCTGCCTCACCGAACTGCTACCCCCACAATTCCATAACACTGAGCCTTGGAAGTTACAAGTGGTGTCAATCTGGACCAGTTCTACAACCTGCCCATAACAAACATGGCCGCCCCGCAGAAGCCAGGGAGAGAGCCGCTCTTCCCGACTGCATTGAGTCGCCTCTATGGCAAAGCGGAAATGGGTGGGGTCTTGTCATGCGTTTGTCTCCTCGTTATCCGGAAGTGATTCAGCGTTCGCTCGGGCTTCGGCGATGGATGCTGCAAGGAGGCCGCAGTCGTGGTAAGCCTCGAGAATGGTGAGGCAGTGGGGCAAAAAGGCTTTCTAAGCGCCTCAGAAGTGGGTTAAGAATAGGTCGGAGGCAGCTTTACTCGGTTGGGGCGGGTGAGAAGCGCATGCGCAACCGGAGACTCCGGGGGTGTGTAATAAGACTGCGCATGCGTACCTTTCCCGTCCCCTCAGGTGGCGCTACGGCGAGACTTTCGCAACCTAGTGCGCATGTGCGGGCTCCACCGAGCAGACAACCAATCCGTTGTTATTACCTTTATGTTCCTCGAAGAATTGAAAGTAAGGGATTGTGCTAGATGGCCCATATGGTCTCTTCCAAATCTCTTATTCTGTGATTCAGTGTAGGAAATTTTTCTGAGCTAGTTTTAATCTGGTGGAGGCTCCTTCTTTGGAAGCTTTTAAACAAAGGCTGGATGGCCATCTGTCGGGGGTGCTTTGAATGCAATTTTCCTGGAATGGATAGCCCATGAGGTCTCTTTCAACTCTTTTATTCTATTTATTTATTTATTTATTTATCGTGTCAGGAGCAGACCAAACAGTTGCATTGCATTTTTAAACAAACAAACAGAACACAAAGTTTGCAAGCTTGGTAGTTGATTAAATGTCCCTTGACCAGTATCTGGCCACTTGGAGTGCCTCTGGTGTTGCTGCAAGGAGGTCCTCCATTGTGCATGTGGCAGGGCTCAAGTTGCATTGCAGCAGGTGGTCTGTAATTTGCTCTTCTCCACACTCGCATGTTGTGGATTCCACTTTGTGGCCCCATTTCTTGAGGTTGGCTCTGCATCTCATAGTGCCAGAGCACAGTCTGTTCAGCGCCTTCCAAGTCGCCCAGTTTTCTGTGTGCCCAGGAGGGAATCTCTCATTTGGAATCAGCCATTGATTGAGGTTCCGGGTTTGGGCCTACCACTTTTGGACTCTCGCTTGCTGAGGTGTTCCAGCAAGTGTCTCTGTAGATCTTAGAAAAGTATTTCTTGATTTAAGTCATTGATGTGCTGGCTGATATCCAAACGGGATGAGCTGGAGATGTCTCTGCCTTGGTCCTTTCACTATTGGCTGCTACTTCCCAGCGGAAATCAGGTGGTGCAATACCCGCTAAACAGTGTAATTTCTCCAGTGGTGTAGGGCGCAGACACCCCGTGATAATGCGGCATGTCTCATTAAGAGCCACATCTACTGTTTTAGCATGGTGAGATGTGTTCCACATGATTCTATGAAAACAAGCCTGTGAGGTAGGTTAGGGGTGGAGACTGGCTACCCCAGGATGCTCCTACACTGTAGAATTAATGCACTTTGGCACCACTTTAGCTGCCATGGTTCAGTGCTATGGGATCAGGGCGTTGTGATTTACCGAGGTCCCAATTCCCTTTGGCAGAGAAGGCTAAAGACCTTATAAAAATATATCTCCCACAATTGCATTATCGTTGAGCCGGCAAAAGTATGATAGCTGGGAGCCTACGCTGGTTGCGCAATGCAGGTCTGAATTAATGAGGGAAACAAGTGCGCGAGACAGCGCAGTGAGTGAGAGACACAGCTGCGTCAGAGTTGTGGCAAGATAGTTCATCAGAAAGGGGGAAGAGGAAACTATCCCATTTACTGTCATCGTAAGCCATTGTTTATCATTTAACATTAAATAACTCTTAACATTACTTCCCTCGCCTTAAGCACTATTTATTTATTTCCAGTATTTCTACCACGTCCTTCTCAACCCCCGAAGGGGGACTCAGGATGGCTTACATTTGGCACAATTTTATGCCATTAAATATAACAAAGCAATAGAACATTAATTAAAACAATAAAAACGGTATTAACCACTGTATCACCATTCCAGTCAAATTCCATATCCAAAGCACTATTTATGCCTGCTGTCCAAAAGCTTGGTCCCAGAACCACAACTTCAATTTCTTCCTAAAAGACAGGAGGGATGAAGCTGATCTTGCCACGTTGGGAAGTGAGTTCCTCAGGTGGAGGGCCACAGCCAAGAAGGCCCTGTCTCTCGTCCCCGTCAGACATATTTGCGACGCTGGCGGGAGCGAGAGCAGGGTCTCCCCGGATGATCTTAAACTGCAAGGTGGGATGTAGAGGGAGATGCGTTCAGACAAGTAAGCTGGGCCAGAACTGTATAGAGCTTTATAGGTCAAAACCAACACTTTGAATTGAGTTTGGAGTTGGATTGGCAGCCAGTGGAGCTGACATAACAAAGGGGTGGTGTGCTCCCTGTATGTCGCTCCAGTTAGTAATCTGGCTGCAACCTGTTGGACTAGTTGAAGTTTCCTAACAGTCTTCAAAGGCAGCCCCACGTAGAGTGTGGTGCAGTAATCTATTCGGGATGTAACAAGAGTGTGGACTACTGTTGCCAGATCAGACTTCCCAAGGTACTATGCTTGGCTGTTTGTTGTCCCGTCCCGTCCCGTCCCGTCCCCCCCCCGCTTTCTGTCCCCCTTTCTCCCCCCCCCTTTTCTGTCGAACTATCTTGCCACGACTCTGTCGCAACTGTGTCTCTCACTCCACTGTCTTGTGCACGTCTTCCCTTCATTAATTCTGACCCACATTGCGCAAGTAACGTTGCCCAGGGTCCCAGCTATCATACTTTTGCCATTGAACCCTTCCAATTAAAGTGGCATCAAACTGCACTAATTCAGCTCATAGAATAGGGTAAATAGGCAGACAAAGCTGACAGGGAGGATGTTCCCAATGTAACCCCAGACCTGCATGGGTACAGAAATGGCCTGATCAAAAGTCATTTAAGCAAAATGCTATTCATAGAATCATAGATTTAGTTTTGGTGATTGGAGTTTTCTTTGGCCCTTGTGCTAACACTTGAATTCCAGTGGCAAATGGTCATTTGGCAAAAGGCTTGGCTAATGGTGGAGGATGACACAGATTGGGAAAGAAATGGAGGTGTTCACTCCTAGACCTCTTGGTGCCCATCACAACCATAGATCACGTGTCTTTGTAGGAAGGCTGTCCAAGTTGGGAATTGTGGGTCCTGGGCTTTTTTCACTGCACTCCTTCGAGAAGATTCAGTTCTAGCAGCTGGTGCTGGGGAATACTGCTCAGCAGCAAGGCTTTTTTGCAGTGTGGTCTCACAGGGTCCCCTTTGTCTTCAAGGATATTTAATGTCTTCATAAAGGGAAAGTCATTTTAAGTCATATATATACACAGGCAGACGCTAAATTGCAAACACCCAACTTACAAACAACGTGTAGTTAAGAACAGGCTATTTTTTTGTGATAGTGTGATAGGTGGGACCCAGCACTGCTAGCCTTATGCTGTTTCCGGAACGCTGCTTCGGGAACACTGCTTGCAGAACGCAGGCGTGGGAGGATACCACTGAAGTAATTTAACGCAGGGGGGACACAGATAACAGTGAAGGAATATAAGAGGTCTTTAATGATAGATGAGAAACAACGGTTTGGGAAACGCTTTGAGAAGACATTAAATGGGATAGAAATCAGCAATCTGACCCAAAAGATTATTAAACACTTCTATGTTGTTGCCACCCGACATCCAGGCTGTCCACAAACTGCAGGGCATAGTGCAATAATTCAATGTCCCTGAGAAAAACTTGTCTGAAACTGCTCAATAAAGTGGATTAGATTGATTTTACACCACTCCTCATATTTTCCTCCTCCTTTCTATCCTTGTAATGCAACAACGAACTCCCTTCCTGACTTTGTTCCCCTCTGTGTCTCTCACTCCATCCATTCTCACTCCGCCCCCTCCCTCGACCATGGGGTCGGTCATGTGGTTCCTTCCCTCATTCACAACCGCAGTTGCACTATCAGCGTAACGCTAGCAGCGCTGGGTCCCAGCTATCATACTGTCACCCTGTTTTTGCTTACCTATATCTTGCTATTTGTGTTGTTTCCATATGTTTGCTGCTATATGGAAACTGCATTATTTATTGAATAAATTTAGTAAAACATTTTAAAAAAACGTCAGTATGAACTCCCTCCTCCCAGTAAAGCTGTCCAAAAATTAGATATGTGATGCCACTATTCCGCTAATGTCACCTAACTCCCTCTTTTTCATCTGATTCAGGTGAGGCAGGGGAAGTGCTGAATTGGCGCCTGGGATCAGTGATGGACTGGATGTGGGCCAATAAAGTGAAGCTCAATCCTGACAAGACTGAGGTCCTGTTGGTGAGTAGTCCATTTGATTGGAGAAGCAGAGTACAGTCTCTTTTAAAATGGGTTGCACTGTCCCCAGAATGATCAGGCCATTATTTTGTTGCTGACCCAGCCTTGTCCCTGGAGACATTGTAGATAGGGCTTTTTTTCTACAGCTAAAGTTGGAGTGACAGCTCTAAGACTCCTTCTACACAGCCATATAGAATCTAGATTATCTGCTTTAAACTGGATTATATGGCAATTTAGACTCATAATCCAGTTCAGATAAGATAATATAAATTATCTGCTTTGATAATCTGGATTATATGGCAGCGGAGAAGGGGTCTAACACTTCCTAGCACAGTGAGATTGTGGCTGCTGTAATCCATTTTAAGTAAATTTCCAGTTTAGGGTATTTTCTTTTGGTACACACAGATCCACTTGCTTGCAAGGGAGGCCTTTCAGCAGCCTTCTGACAAGCAAGACATCCAAGCCTACTCATTAAAAGTCCTTACCACTGTAATTGCCAAGTCCTTAGGAAGATCTGGAGTCCCTTTAGTCTCAAATCTCCCATAGGAATAATATATAAGGTAATGTTTTTTGCAGCAGTTAACTCATTGCCACTGAATGGTCCTCCATACATGCATGAACACTAGGAAAATTAGAGAAAGCTGTTTGACATAAAAAAGGATTCATTAGAGGGGGAACCTTCTGTGTTTAAAAAAAACTGCTGGCCTGCTGGAGCCTTTGTTCTAGGAGAGATGTACTTATATTCACTAACTGAGCACTTTATTTAAATTGATTGGGATTTTTGTTTAATTCCTGTAAGTGTTGTTTTATGTGAATTGGTGTTGTCACAGATTTTATAAATACTGATGTATTGTATTTTATGTGTTTTGTGTGGCACCATCATGTGCTGCTCTGTAAGCCTCCCTGAGTCTCCCTGAGGTGGTGGGATATAAATAAAGTTATTATTGTTAATTTAAATTATACTTATTTGATTTTAATGTGAAGATATATTTAGGGTGGGGCAGCTATGTAACTCACTCAACTGAGGCTTAGTGTTACAACATGTAATGGATCCAACAGTTCAGAACTTTGATGCTAAGCCTAGTGTATCAAAAGCAAATACTCTGTCCATTGCACTTGCTCTGCCTCACAGTGGATTTGTCTAAACATGGAAAATGTTCAAAACACCTTTATGTAGTAGTAACATTCATTGAGATCAGTTAAATATTTCCCGAAAAAGATGTTCTTGAGGAGTATGTTTTTTTAAGGATAAGAAAAAATGCTTGGGTTTTTCTTAGGAAATGAGACCCAGACTTCTAAGGCTGCTGAGACATGGTTCAATCCATAAATAATGTGTGAAACGTTAGAAATATTTCCTCTGAAGTATCCTATGTCAGCTGTGCAAAGAGTAAAGAGAGGGGCCAAGAAGACAGTGCCATCATCTTGTCTCCAGTGTCATCAGTTGGGAGTCCCTCCCCCCAACACCAACTGCTACTCTGGGACCAGAGTAAAGAAAGGGGTCCAGGACGATATTGTATTTATTTTATTACTTGTAAGCCGCTCTGAGTCCCTTTCGGGTTGAGAAGGGCAGCATATAAATGTCATAAATAAATAAATAAATGTAAAGTTGATCAAACCCACATTAATGTCGTATCAAAGACTGTTTCTGTATTCTTTCCCTGGCAGACGTGTTGGATCCTAGACTGATGGCGTCAGGCACAGCGAGCCGCTCTGAAGACGAAGAGTCTCTGGCTGGACAGAAAAGGAGCTCCTCACAGGTTTCTGGTGCCATTCCAAAACGGCGCAGTTCTTCCAGGTAACTATTTGGTTCTGTTAGTGAACAGTCTAGGGAGGAAAGGGGGAAGTTTATGTCTGAGCATCTCTCTTGGAGAGTAGAACCTTTGAATAGGATATGTTGCTTAGTTGTTCTTTTTATCCAGAAATAAAGAGCTACAGTCTTCATATGAAGTCTGGTGCCTTTCATTTGCAAAAGTGGTATTTTGAGAGGAGAAGGGAAGTAGAACCTGAGCATAATAAAATCTATATTCTTTTAGGACATCTGAAGCAGTGCTATACATTCTTGTATCTACTTTTTGTAGATGAGAGCATCATATTCTGAAATTCTTGACAGAGTTTGTAGCATGGTTCAAACAGTACACTTTAAGAGGGGGAAATGAATTCAGTCAAAATGCTTCCTTTGTCTAATTTGTAAAAGCAACCCCAAGCCCTGGGATTATATAAATAATGCAGACATGATTCTAGTTGAATTAGAAATTAGAGATTCGGGTACTGCTTTCAGAGCTATGACTTGCGACCTGATTAATTCTACATATAGACCAGGATTTTTGGTTGGTTGGGTTTTTTTTTACCAAACTCTTTCAAGTGAAGTGATCATTTTTAATTTCTTCACAGACGTTTGCTTTTAGGAAATCCCATTAATTTCAATTGATGTTGATACTGTTTGCACCTATGCCATGGTGGCAGACTAACTACTTGCAATAGAATATGGTAATGTGGATCTTCACTGTTCCAGGTTCATCAAGCGGAAGAAGTTTGATGATGAATTGGTAGAGAGCAGCCTGGCCAAATCATCCAGCCGGGCCAAGGGCCCTAGCGGGGTAGAGCCTGGGCGCTGCTCAGGCAGTGAGCCCTCTTCCAGCGAGAAAAAAAAGGTGAGTTGTATGACAGCCCCTGTGGTGCCTAAGAGCCATCAGGATCACTCTTTTACCAGGTGATCTAAAATGTCATGCTGTAAAAACCTTCCTAGAACTCAACGGTGGCCTCCTTTTGTTGTTGTAGATGCCACTCTGTAATCTTGCAATGAAATGTGCAGTCGCCACTTTATGACTAAGGTCTCTGTTGCATGTTGGTTGTCCTTACTCCTGAGTCTGCTCCTGCCATCTGTATGACATTCTCTCTGCCTCCTCAGGTGTCCAAATCTATCTCCGCACCTGTCACTCCGAGCCCAGCTCCAAATCCTAGCCTTGCCAAACGGATGAAGAAAAGCAAGCAGCCCTTGCAGGTCACCAAAGATTTGGGCCGCTGGAAACCCACCGATGATCTCCTGCTCATCAATGCTGTCCTTCAGGTAGTGGAGTGTGATTAGACTAGGGAGAAAAAAATGGGTCAGGAGGTATCTTTGAATCACTTATGTGCCATTTTCTCCTTGAGAAATGTGAAGTACTTTGCATGAGACTAACAAGAGATGTCCTCTCTCTACTTCTGTAACTATTAATTGTGAGCTGCTGCCAGTCACTGAAGACCAAGGGTGAGGAAGTGGTGGCCCTTCAGTTAGTATTAGGAACTCATATTCTAGTCCTGCAATATCGACAGCCCTGGTGTGGTCAGGACTGAAACAAATAGAGCATTGCTCTGACTTGGTAGATGGTAGCTTCCATATGTCCATCCTTTCCTTGCCCTCCTTGTGATGTTACAGTATCTCCTCCTTAATCCCCCACTGTATTAAGCTGTTGAAGATAAAAAGCCTTGAAGTTAAAAGGATGCTGACTCTTTTTTTAAAGGCTATTTTCCCAAAGTCAGGACATATCTTATTTCCTTACCCCCTTAAATGGGCATCTCTTGTATTTGTCTCAGTGAAGTTTCTGGCTTCTTGTGCTATTTGTGCATGTTTGGAAAGAAGGGGTCGTTCTCATTTTCTCTCCTTCCTCTTTCCCTGCAGACAAATGACTTGACCTCTGTGCACCTGGGGGTGAAGTTCAGCTGTCGCTTCAACTTGAGAGAAATCCAAGAGAGATGGTATGCTCTGCTCTACGACCCTGTGATCTCCAAGTAAGTCCTCTTGTTACCAAAAACTGCCACGGGAAAAGCGGGGATTGAACTGGTTCGTGACCCCTCACAGCCCAATTTTTCCCAAGGGGATGTCTTGTTTCCAAGGACAGGGAAGTGTCAAAATGTTTCCTTCTCAGTCTAGTAGCAGTGAGCTGTCTCCTGCAGAGAAATAGCAACAGATCAGCTTGTAGGAGGAAACAAATTCTGTAATATCAAAAGAGGATTGTATATGTATGTTCAAAACCAAGGAGCCTTAATGTTTTTATTTGGGAGTCACTTTTTAAAATCAGCGGAATTTATTTTCGAGCACATTCTGGTATGAAGGGATGAACATGGACTAGAATGTGGCAAAGCCTAGTGTTTGTCTTTTGTTTTCTCCATTTTGACATCACTTTGCAGAAGCAATTGTCTGTTAAGGATGTATTCCTTCTGTTGGAGGCTCTGTAAAATTTACTGTATTTCTTCAGTTCTAAGCCTCACTTATTTCTAGGCAAACATCTCTAAAAATGGGATGCGCAGGTGTATTTTTGCTGGTGATGGTTGTTCTGAAATTGGGGTGCGTGTTACAATCAGTGGTGTCTTATAATTTAAGAAATACAATATTCCCAAACTGATTCTTTAGTAGTCTTATTGGAGGCCCTGGTGACGAAGTGGGTTAAACCACTGAGCTGCTGAACTTGCTGACCAAAAGATTGGCAGTTTGAATCCGGGGAGTGGGGTGAGCTCCTGGTGTTAGGCCCAGTTTCTGCAAATCTAGCAGTTCAAAAACATGCAAATGTAAGTACATCAAATGCAGTCATGCTGGCCACATGACCTAGGAGGTGTCTGTGGACAATTCCAGCTCTTTGGCTTAGAAATGGAGATGAGCACCACACCCCAGAGTCAGACACGACTAGACGTAACATCAGGGGAAATATTTACCTTTACCTATTTAGTAAGTTTGGATAAGAGGGAGACTTCCTCTGTCTTTCATGACTGCATGATTGAAAGATGGATTTCCTCATTACTAGCTCCACAGCAAGAGATGCTGAGCTTTTCAGAGCTTTAATGTATACTTGAAAATGATGCACAGGGACAATTCTGCCCTTTCCTCCTCTTCCAGGCTCTCCTGCCAGGCCATGCGGCAGCTGCATCCTGAAGCCATTGCCTCTATTCAGAGCAAAGTACTGTTCAGCAAAGCAGAAGAGCAGCTGCTGAGCAAAGTGGGATCGGTAAGAAGCAAAAACTGGGTATTTGAAAGTCCAACCCTGATTCCTGAAAATAATACGCACCAGGGGGTTTCTCTTTCTCCTTCCTTTTTTCTAATATGTACATATATCCCCAAGAGAAATGAAGAGGCACTTATAAGTGTGTGTAGTGGCTTGTAAATTTCACTCTCGTGGTCTTCCAAGAGAACATAAGTTGACTATTCTAGAGTTGCATTTATACCTGACCCTCAGATTCTACAGGGTGAGGCAGCATCTTCCTTTTTTCAAAACTTAATAAAAACCATTGTATGAATCAGAATGTTTTTTAATAATGTAGGCGTATACTTAAAGTTTTGTTTTACGTAGTTTTGAAGATCAAATTAGGTAGGTGACGTCCACCATTCTCCATACACTGAGTAAACCGATTTCTGGCGTTTGTCATGATTCTTGCCAGCATAGCAGGCATTATGTTGGCAATTTCTTCCTGGATGTTGGTCTTCAAATCTTGTAGGGTCCTTGGACGGTTCACATAAACACAGGATTTCAAAAAAACCCATAGAAAAAAATCACAAGGGGCCAAATCTGGAGAGCGGGGCTGGCCACTCCAAATCCGCTCGAAAAGTAGACCTCAACGGCAGAAGCACGCTCCTCACTGTTCCAACGCATGATGGCAGCTGAACTGTGTCAGGACAAAACTTTATACTCCCGCCTCTTGAACGAGACCACTAGTGCTCCACTACGTCTTCATACGACTGAATGGCACACATTTTAAAATAGGAAGTTATGCTGCCTCACGTTGTATTTAACAAAAAGTAACTTATTGCGTAGCCCTTATAATAAAGGGGTTGTTTGTGCTTGACTTTCCCCTCCCTCTCTGTCCCAGACCAGCCAGCCCACCCTGGATACCTTCCAAGACCTGCTGCACAAACACCCAGAGGTTTTCTACCCCTCTCGCACAGCCAAAGTGCTCCAGACACATTGGCAACTCATGAAGCAGTATTACCTCCTGGATGATCAGACAGGTAAAGCCAAACCTCTCACTTTCCTCGCAGAAGCTGACGCTTGTGCTAGGAGTCTAATCTTCCCCTTGCCTTCTCTCGACACTTTCAGTTCAGCCACTACCTAAAGGGGACCAAGTGCTCAACTTCTCTGATGCTGAAGACATGATAGATGACAGCAAACTGAAGTAAGTGGAAGGGAAAGAGGTACAGAGTCAGTATAGAGCCGAACAGAAAGAGGATCCTACTTTATATTCAGGTAGGGTCAACATAACTGGCTCAAGAAGTGACGAAAAGAGCAATCTTTGTGTAAATCATCTGCAGAGAACACATGTTTGGGGAAAATCATATGCCAGTTTTAATCGGCTACTGCTTTTGCTACCACTCTTTTTATAGGCAGCAGCAGAAGCTGCTTCTATTGATGTATGTTTCTTCTGTTATTTAATTAATGCTGTAGTATTTAATTACTGTGTGTGTGAACATACCGCATGGTATAAATTTAAATAAACAGCAACCTAAGATGCTGTCTTTGTACTGAGTCAACAGTGGATATATCTAAAGTGCAGTATTGTTTAAATCGATTGACAGTGACTTTCTAGGATTTGAAAGGTAGATTCTTTCCCAGTCCTGACTATAGATGCCATTGAACATGGAACATTGGACATATAAAGCAGACTTTCTGCCCTGGAGCTATAGCTTTTCCTTGCTGTCCTTCCTTATTAAACATAGGTTACTGTGCCTTGATGATATTGGACTAATTATCTTGATTAATAATACTAAGTGACATGATTTTTCTTCCTGGGTTATAAATGTCATTTCCTAATTGGGTCTATCATAAAAACTTGAGAGAAGTTTATTAAACTGCAAAAAACATCGTTTTTGTGGGAATGCTCGCAGCACATTTTGTTGTAGTTTTCCAATGAATATCTCATTAAGTCTTAACCAGTTAGGTTTGTGGCAACCACAAAAACAAAGTTTCTGGTGTGTAACAACTGTGTTTAAAGTAAGTACAGCACAATTAAACGGGAAATAACATTTTTGAACCAGGAACAGATTTTTTTTTCCAAATTGTTTGCATAGTGTAATCAAAGGACCTTATTTAAGGCTTACAGTGACAACTAGGCAGGTCACTGCTAGTCCCATTGTGCCAATTTGAAAACTAAGGATTGATACTGAAAGTTATCCGTTGTTTCTTGAGAGAGGACATTCTTATATTTTGGCTTTGCAAACTTCTGTTTGATGCCAGTTATTTACTAAGATCAGCAGTGAATTTAATTTCTCCACATTTTGCATCTAGCAACTTGTTCTAATGGAACACTCCACTTGGAAACTTCAATGTTAAACACTACTGAAGCTACTACACCACACACTTAGCAGAGTCCTGATCAAGTCAGTGCTCTTTGGTGCGTTTGTATCTGTAGGCCCTACTTTTCACATCAAAGTTGGACAATGCAGATGCAAAATGGGTAACAGCACAGATGGAGTCACTTAAGAATTGAAGGCTTAGCTAAGACCCTGCTCCTCTCTTTTCCTTCCTGCAGAGATGTACGAGATGAGGTCTTGGAGCATGGTGAGTTGGATTCCACTTGTTTTAACCTGGTGCCATGTAACAGAAAGAAAGAAACTCACAAGATTTCTGTGTAATAATAAGGCTGTTCTGAGTGCACTTTGCTTGCACTCAGCTACAGCCTGTTTCATCTTTCCTTTGAATGCCTTTTCCTTTGCTGCCTTTCTCCTGGCAGAGTTGACTGTGGCAGACCGAAGACAGAAGCGTGAAATTCGGCAGTTGGAGCAAGAGCTACACAAATGGCAGGTTCTGGTGGACAGTATAACTGGTGAGAGAGGTTCAGAAAGGCCTCTTCTGACTGAAGCGCCAAAGTGAGGGGCTTTGGGATGGGAAATGGGGGTGGGGGAGGCATTGCCCAAAGACCTGCTCTTTAATTTGGTGGTATGAACAAAGCAGACACCCCCAGTATGCCTGGCCTCTAGAAGGTTGCTGTGAGCTTTCACTGTCTTCCAAAGGCCTCTTCCGTCTTAACTGCTCTTTTCTCTCTCCGTCCAAGGAATAAGCTCCCCTGATTTTGATAACCAGACATTAGCAGTGCTGCGTGGAAGGATGGTGCGTTACCTCATGCGCTCTCGGGAGGTGGGTTGAATCTTTTATTTCCTTTAGGCTTAGACAGCATTGAACATTTCTTTACATAGAGGGTTAGAATTTGAACTCTTAAAAGTACTCGGCTACAGGTCTTGTAGAAATATTCATAGACCTTTCCCCTTTAGCTTTTCCGCGTTTATTGTGTTATAACCCAGAATTGGGGCCACTGGTGGCGCAGTGGGTTAAACCGCTGAGCTGCTGAACTTGCTGATCAAAAGGTTGGCGGTTCGAATCCAGGGAGTGGGGTGAGCTCCTGCTGTTAGGCCCAGCTTCTGCCAACCTGGCAGTTCGAAAACATTCAAATGTGAGTAGATCAATAGGTACTACTTCTGCGTGAAGGTAACTCTGCTCCATGCAGTCATGCTGACCACATCGCCTTGGAGATGTCCATGGACAATGCCAGCTCTTTGGCTTAGAAATGGAGATGAGTACCACCCCCCCCCCCCCCCCCCCCCAAGAGTTGGACTCGACTAGACTTAATGTCAGGGGAAAACCTTTATCTTTTAACCCAGAACTGGCATGGATTTAACTGCCGTTGTTACCACTTGGTGTAGACTACGTGCTCTGCTGTGAAGGTGGCATTAAAAAAATCCAGAACAGGCCCAATACCATCTACATCACTCCCTGGTTGAAACACAGTAAAATGTAGCAAATATAAGAGGGGTGAATCGTTTGGCAGAGCAATGTATTTCTAAAGAACAATAGAATTTACTTCAATGTGTTTTTATGAGTTGACCTTTCCTTGAAATATTCATTGTGCATAAGCTGCTTTGGAGCCATATCTCTCTATAAAAGGGTAGATTTAATCCAGAGAAGTAGCAGTAGCTTTTTATTGAACCTATCTGAATTGAAAGAAGTCAGGGTTGTGTGTGTTAATAGCTCTTATGTGTTACGTGGCCTTTAGTACAGATTCAAATATCCCTGGGAAAATTAGAGTTCTGTTATTTTCAAATGGGGTTTCTAGCAAAGCCATGCAGAGATACTCTTATCTACCCTCCCATCACCAGATTGTCCTTGGTAAGTAACAGCAGTATAAGAATCCATTTTAAAATAGTGTTAATGCAGAATAAGAAAGATTGTATACATATTTGTCTCCTTAATTTTGATTGCTGAATTGTAATTTCGTCAGAGCAAAATTGTGGTTCTTTCAACAGACAGCGTAAATAGTCTTGCTCATCTCCTCTTCCAGATCACACTTGGTAGAGCCACCAAAGACAATCAGATTGATGTGGATCTAGCATTGGAGGGACCGGCCTGGAAAATATCCCGCAAGCAAGGTAAAGTATGGAGAGTGGAAAACTGGCTGGGAATGGTTGGAGTGGTTGACAGCCAGTGGTGAATTTTCATTGCACAAGCTGTGTTAAGGTTGAAAGAGGAAAATCTAGAAGGGGTCACTTCATTTTCCTTTGGGATGTTGTATTTCTCATCATCCCACGTGTGCCATATCCACAGGGGTCATCAAGCTGAAGAACAATGGTGACTTTTTCCTAGCCAATGAAGGCCGACGGCCCATTTATGTTGATGGGCGCCCTGTCCTCTGTGGGAACAAATGGAAACTCAGCAACAATTCTGTGGTTGAGGTGAGCTTGAGTGAAAATGTGATTGTGCTTATGTCTTGCACATCGTGTCGTGTAACAAGATGAGGTTGGTATCTGGAATATAGTCCTAGTTGACTTGCACATAGTTTTGACTTTTGAAGACACATAGCTGAACCTGTGTATTCTTTATTTAAGCAGTGAGTGTAGAGTTGTTAACATCTTCTTGGTATGATTCAAAGGCTAACAGTAAGGCAGAAATCTACAATAGAGGGGTCTTGGGGTCAATTCTATACTTATAGGTTATTTTTATATATATGTTTAATCTGTATTGTTTTTATAATGTTGTGAGCCGCTTTGGTTCCCCTTTGGGGAGAAAAGCTGGATACAAAGATGATGATGATGATGGTGATGGTGATTATTTTAAACACAACAACATTAGTACACAGCAAACAAGATCACTCTGCTGGTTGTTGTATTGGATCACACGTCGGACACTTCCCAGATGTCTAGGACTATGTGATGCATTGGCGAATAATGCATGCAGATCCCAGTAAGGTGGACTTTTGCAGCTGACAAATGGTAATTTTGTCAGGGCTGATTGTGTTTAAGTGCAGGCCAGGGTCTTTAGGCACTGCCCCCAATGTGCTGATCACCACTGGGACCACCTTGTCTTTGCAGTTTGATCTTTAAATCCTCGTATCATGTCAGCCTTTCCAGTTGTTTCTCTTCAATCCTGCTGTTGCCTGGAATTGCAACATTGATGATCCATACTTGTTTTTCTAACACAATCTTGAGGTCAGGAGATATTATTATTATTATTATTATTATTATTATTATTATTATTTGACAGCCTTCTGCCTGGGGAAGCACCAGAGTCCCTGTCATGGATGCTTTAAGTCTCTTTCTTGAAGTGGTTTATGACTCTGAGGCAGCAGAGAAGTGGTTAGAGAAGGATACTTAAAAGCCAGAGTTATTCTTTTCTGATTTGACCTCTTCCTGTTTTTTGTTTGTTTGTTTGTTCCCTAGATTGCTAGTTTACGCTTTGTCTTTCTCATCAACCAAGACCTGATTGCTCTTATCAAAGCGGAGGCTGCCAAAATTGGCCAGCCCTGAAGCTTGGATCATACCAAAGGGGTCAGTGGACCTGGAATGTGGGTTTCCCTGCCCCTTTCCCTCTGCCAGCAGGGATTATCATCACACTCTCTACAGAAGATGCCACTTCGTACAGTCTGCCTTTCCCTTGGCCAGGACTGAACCCTCTCAGTGGCCTTTTCTTTTGAAGATGAGGAGGGGCTTTGCTTCATCAGCTGGAAGCTATTATATGGGAAAGCCAGGACTGAACAGAGATCTCTGACTGACAGAAGCATCTTGTTGGGTGTCCCGTGAAGGAGCTTTGCTGTTCCTGCTACCAATGCTAATGGGCCTGTTGTGTGTGGTTCTCTGTAGGACAACGGAGTGACTCGCTCCTCCATGGAGGATTCAGAGATAGGAAACTGGGGGAGGAGTAAGTGTCAAGTAAGCTAATAAAATAGTTATCAGTCACTCCTCTCTTCTGTGTTTTATTGGTGCCTTCTCACAATATACTGTATTTCATCCATTCTGAAACACCATCGATTGTACAATCAGTACCACCAGTGGAAAGAAAGCTTTATATATAGAAAAAAGCACCAGCAATTCTAAAATGAACCCTGTTTTTCAGAATGTTTATATGGGGGAAAAGGTGTGTCTTAGAATGGATGGAATATAGTAACCTATTGCCAAATAAATACATTTTTGGAAGTTAAATCCTATGCTGTTAATTTGAAGCAGAAACAGAAGTCCAGTGGTGTATATTCTTTTCTTCTGCAAGAACATTGGCAGTTTTGCTACAATATTGACTGATAGCTTTAACTTACCTTACCCATCTAGAACTCAAGACCTTTACCTCAGAGAAGGAGATCATGAAAAGGGTGCTTGGACCTGTGGTTTTCTGAATAGTGGGATCTGTATATATTAAAGTGGTTGATCCATGCTTAGTTGCTGTCTGAAACCAAAGGACATACCAAACCTAAGATGCCTATGTATGGAGCATGATATTGCCATCTTGGAGGCATCTAGCTGTTGTGTTGAGTAGATTAGCTGGTATTCTCGATCACCTACCTAGTTATGTAACTACTTTGGTAACAGCTAAGTTGCATCACACAGCTCAGTTCCCTCCATCCTGCTTTCTTGAGCAGCTGCCGTTGCAATTGACAGAGGCCTGTTGTCTTGTCGGATCAGGTGCAGCAATGACTTTTCCACTCCCTGCTGCAAGTGGTCACCAGCGCAAGTAGAATCAGGATGCCTGACATAATTCCTCCTCTCACCGGAGAGGAATGGAAACATCAGGCTGCTGTATCTCATTCAGCAGGAGAAAAAGAACACCATTGGTAAGGCAAATTTGGGACTTTCCCGATACCTACATATTTGCTACATTGAATACATAGGAATCTTGAATACAATGTTACAAATGAGTAATTCTGTTATACAGGGTGAGGCAGCATAACTTCCTTTTTTCAAAACTTAATAAAACCCATTGTATGAATCAGATTTTTTTTATTTTTATAATGTAGGCGCATACCTAAAGTTTTGTTTTACGTAGTTTTGAAGTTCAAATTAGGTAGGTGACGTCCCCCATTCTCCATACACTGAGTAAACCAATTTCTGCCGTTTGTCATGACTCTTGCCAGCATAGCAGGTGTTATGTTGGCAATTTCTTCCTGGATGTTGGTCTTCAAATCTTGTAGGGTCCTTGGACGGTTCACATAAACACAGGATTTCAAAAAACCCCATAGAAAAAAATCACAGGGGGGCAAATCTCCAAATCTGCTCGAAAAGTAGGCCTCAACGGCAAAAGCACGCTCCTCACTGTTCCAACACATGATGGCGACTGAACTGTGTCAGGACGAGACCACTAGCGCTCCGCTACGTCTTCAACCGACTGAATGGCACACATTTTAAAAAAGGAAGTTAGGCTGCCTCACCTTGTGTATTACTTATTGCAATTGAATCCCAGTCTTAGTTCTTAATGCAATCAGTGTGGTGCTACAGCTAGAGTTAGGTTTGCTCACAAAGACATCCACATTTCTACGCGGCAACAAAGTTTGGTTGCTGACCTTTGTCTCTGCCCCATCAATTACAAACATGGAGTTTAGTTTACCTTTCATAACTTCTACAGAAGGAATGAAGACTTTTGCGGGGTATGAGGTTGTTCCTCCACCAGTGGAGTTGCGTGTTCTAATGGGCTAGGAGGCAAAATGAAATGATACACTCACATTCACTTTCCCTTTTTTGGATTGGGAATCATCTGCCTTGCCTTTCCTCCACATTGGAGATAGTAACACCATACTCTAGACTACTGTGACATATTTAGAAAAGCAAAGGTTGGTGTTCAAAATTTATCTTTTATTATATAAAAATTACTATCTTGGTAAGCCTTTGCATCCAAAGGGGCCAGAAAGATTCTTTGTTCTGCCCTCCCACCAAAAAACTGCATGCACAATGGGATTCCCAGTCATTCCCTGATGCCACAGCTGATACCTAACAATCAAGGTGCCTGAAGGAAGATTTAATATGGTGAGTGTTCATGTTTTGCATATTTCAACTGTCTTGAGTTTGACAATGTAATTCTGCAACCCAGGCAACAATCCAGCTAGGATGGGTCTAGCTTTTGGCAATAGAGCCTGCTGCAGCAGATCCAGTTTGCCTGCTTTTGCCAATGATTGCCTATCCTTTCATCCTACAGAAAGCTTCAAAGGTTATCTTGTAATCCTTTCCTTTTATCACTATTGTGAGAAGTACTGCAACTTTCTTGAAATGTGTGCTTTCAAAGCCATTTACAAATTGATATACAAATTCATCTCTTCCTCCTCCTTTTCTTCTTCTGCCCCATAGTTTCTAATCTTCTTCATCCCATTTCCATTTGGCCACCATTGCTTCCTGTAAATCCTGCCACATGATGAGCCTCCTCAACCGTGGTCGTCTTCAGCAAAATCTCTGTTGTATTTTCTCAGGACTTGCTCCTCTTTGCTTTCTAGCATCTCTCTACTCAGATGTTTGCTGTTCCCCAGAACACAGTAGCACTTCATACTGTAAAACAGCCTCTTTCCAGACTAAGATCATCCAAAAGATGGATCTTGATATAAGCAAGCAAGCCAAACTATGGTAGTTCATATGCCTGTCCCTTCCACCTCTGGCCAGAAAGGGGCACTATCTGTAGCTTCCTCCTCTGTGCCAATCTGCACCATCTCAAAGCTTGAGAAATCACAGGCTTGAGTCCTGGAAGATTTGGTTTCTGGGATGATTCTGGGGGAGCATGCTTGGCTCTGGTCTGGTGGCTGTGTGTTGCTCCCTTGGTCCTTGGGTCCATGACCAGTGGAGGAAATGGTAGCCCCATCCTCCGAGTCCTTTCCTGGCCCCAGGGTCCAGAGCGTTCCAGGCCAGGGTGAGCTCTGCCCAGCCGGCGGTGACCACATCCACTGAATCCGGCCACAAGCCCCATTAGGACAAGATGCAGGGGGTCCACTACGTGAACAGAAGGCTGGCAAGAGTCCAGTTTCTACTCGGAGTGGGCTCAGCAGAGGAGTTGCAGGAACATCCACATGGGGAAAAGGCCCGCCAGTTGGAGGATCTGTATGCTGCTCAGTTGGGGTCTGCGAGAGAAGGAAGAGCTGGACAGCTTGGCGTAAAGAGTGCAGCCCTTCACGCATTTGTTGCACCTGCCCAGAAAGCTCAGCCACCTGGGGAATCATACAAGGGGGAATGGGTGAGCAGAGCGGACTATCTCCTTCCTTTCTCCCTCACCCTTAGGCTATAAACCCACACCAAACCTTGCTAAACAAATGGCCATTTGCCTTCTGTGTGAAACACAGCACTTTTCTCTTGGAGATACTGGAAAGCATTTCATGGGCTATATATAGATTTATAGGCCCAATGTGGAGGAGGCAGGGAAGTGGCCAATAAGTAGAATTGCCTTCTCATTTAGAAAATAAATATCCTTTTGCCCCTTGAATGTGACACTCCTCCTTTCTTTTGTATGAAGAGCGACGAGAAACTGCAAGTCGCTTCTGGTGTGAGAGAACTGAGAATTGACCATCTTCAAGAACCTTGCCCAGGGGATGCCCTGATGTACCACTCTTGTGTAAGGCTTCTTTCATGTCCCCATATGGGGAGCTGGAGCTGACAGAGGGAACTCATCCACACTCTCCCCAAATCTGAAACTCCGACCTGTCGGTCTTCAGTCCTGCTGGCACAAGGGTTTAACCTATTGTGCCACAACTCTTCCTTATACACTTTTATATTTGGGACTAATAACTTGTTTTTGCTTCCTTGTGGCACAGTGGGTTAAACTGCTGAGCTGCTGAAATTGACCGAAAAGTAGGCGGTTCAAACCCGGGAAGTGGGGTGAGCTCCTGCTGTTAGCCTCAGCTTCTGCCAACCTAGCAGTTCAAAAACATGCAAATGTGAGTAGATGAATAGGTTCTGCTTCTGCAGAAAAGTAACGGTGCTCCGTACAGTCATGCCGGTCACATGATCTTGGAGGTGTCTGAGGACAATGCCGGCTCTTTGGCTTAGAAATAAAGATAAGCACCACCCCCCAGAGACGGACACTTAAGATCAGGGGAAACCTTTACCTTTACCATAATAACTTGTTTTGGTGGCTAATAAAGTTTTTTCTTTGTCCTAGCATGAAAAATATTAAAAAGGGTGTCGAAGCAACTCTTCTACAACAGCACTCATTCATTGTATGGCAGAAGAGAAAAGAAGAATCTTCCTGGGATCAGACCAGAGACCTCAGTATAGTCCTCTTTCCCCACAGTGATTGATTGAACTATAAATCCCAGCAACTACAACTCCCAAATGTCAAGGTCTATTTTCCCCAAACTCCACCAGTGTTCACATTTGGGCAAATTGAGTATTAGTGCCAAGTTTGGTCCAGATCCATCATTGTTTGAGTCTACAGTGCTCTCTGGCTGGCTGTAGATGAACTACAACTCCTAACCTCAAGGTCAATGCCCACCAGACTCTTCCAGTATTTTCTGCTGGTCGTGGGAGTTCTATGTACCATGTTTGGTTCAATTGCCATTGTTGGTGGAGTTCAGAATGCTCTTTGATTGTAGGTTAATTATAAATTCCAGCAACTATAACTCCCAAATGACAAAATCATTCCCCCGGCCCCTGGGGGACCCCACCAATATTCAAATTTAGTATTTGTGCCAAGTTTGGTCCAGTGAATGAAAATACATCCTACATATAAAATATTTACATTACAATTCATAACAGTAGCAACATTACAGTTATGAAGTAGCAATGAAAATAGTGTTATGGTTGGGGGACAACACATGAGGAACTGTATTAAGGGGTCTCAGCATTAGGAAGGTTGGGAAACACTGGGCTAGAGAGACTTCACCAATTAAGGCAGTAATTGGGAGCTTATATTTTGAGAATAGTCCAACATGAGAAGGAAGGTCTATTTATTCCTGGCATGCTCGTTTTCTATCTTGCCTGAGAGCATTTAGATGTGGAATCACTTGCAGGCTGGATAAGAAGGGCCCACCCAGTCCTGGTAAATATATTAACTGATTTTTTGACACAAGTCTTACCGCCTGGCGCAGTTTCTCAATAGTGTCAGCACTGGACAGCTCTGGGGGGATGGTGAGCAGGCCACTGTCTGCAAAATAACAAAAGTAGGCTTGGTTGGGAAAAAAATCCAGATAGGAGAAAAATCACCTAATAAGATGCTAGTAATCCTTTGCCCCATGTGCTGCCCGTGCAGCACAGAAAATACTATGCAGAATGCTTACCTGTGCCAGGTGAAGGGCTGCTGTAGTCTGGACCTGAAGGGCCAAGCCAGAAACTAAAAACGGGTTTGTCGGAGCCAGACCCATCCTCAATGCCATCTACAACCCTTCAGTGGGAAAAGCAGGGAGAGGGGAGAACATCTAATAAGCAGGGAGCAAGAAAAAGGCATTTGCACAGGCAGGTGAACGTGCATGCACAGGTTTATCTGAATGGATGCTTTGACCTGCAAAAAAGTGATTGGTTTCGACAGAAGTGAGAGAATCCTGAGGGCCAAGTACCTCAGAGGGGTCAGCGGCGTCAACAAGAGAACGACAGCATGGAGGCAGAGGTCATTTCCTCTTTCCCTTAGTGAAACCAACACAGGTGTCATGGTAGGTCAGAAAGTAAAAAAAATCACTTCCACAGTTTCTCACCTGGTCCTACTTCTGGGGACTGTGTTGCAATATTTATAGACATGTCTATATGTTTATTGATAGACTGAAAGCAAAATACAAACGACAGTGCCTTAGAAATGCAAAAGGGAATTTCAAGCTAGATGAAGGGAGGAAAGAGGAGGTGGCTCTCATTACAACAGACTGCGTTCCCTGTCTGCTTTCTCACTTCCTTACCTGGGGCTCAGCTCTGGGGGGCCACTGCATGGGGCGTTGTTCAGACGCAACGCTGTGGGACGCAAGGATGCTTCTGAGGGTGGATGATGAGGAAAACCTGAATGTGGCAGCTGATGGCTGGAGGTTCCAGAGACTGAGGGGAACAAGGGCTTGGGGGGCTCACCCACTGCTTCTAGAGGCAAGCAGGGGCTTCGGTGATGTGGAGGGAATGAAGCATCAGCAGAGCGCAGAGTGGTGGGTTCCCTGCTGCTCCGCGATGGAGACTCTGCCTGCAAAGAAAGGACACGAGTGAGCAACCCTTACATCTTACTTCCACCTCAGCCTTCTCTCTGCACTAGGCCCTACTGGTGGTTCAGGAGGAAAGAATGATGCTTCCTTTTCAGTGCTGAAATGCACTGGACACATGACCCTTCCCTACAAAACTCTCCAAGTAATTGAATTATTTTTGTCAGTAAGAAAATAATTCCTCCTTCAACACAATCTCACTTCTCTTATCTGTTTCATACAACTCTTCTCTCTCTCTCAATCTCTCTCTCTCTCTCACACACACACACACACACACACACACATATATAATCAGATTGTGAATCCTCTTAATTTTCTACCAGCTGGGAATGGTTTCATGGCCTAGCATTAGTATTTAGGAAAATACATCCATGTAGAAATCAGCATGAAATTTCCCTCTATCCCATCCCAGATTATACACAATGAACACATATACAGAGAAGTCATACCAGTCCTTGCTTTCCCCCGGTTGTGCAATGAATGAATGAATGAATGGTTTATTGTTCTAGCCATAGGCCATGACATAAAATATACAACCTTTAAAAGTACAATAAGCACTTTCCAATACAAGTATTAAAACAAATTCCGTATACTAGCTCTTTAAAATTATAGTAGTGACATAATAACAATTACAAATGTCTGGTTTGTATCATCCCCAAAATATCTTAATTTCCATTTCTAGCTTCTTCTGTGGACTTTACTAGTTTGGCTCAGATTTTTTGGGCTGCAGCTACAAATGTGGCAACCTTCAATGTTATATCTTTGGAATAATCCGCCAACAAGTCTCAGCTAACTGCTGACTGTTGCTATCGGTTGTGCAATGGGTTAAACTCTTGTGCTGGCAGGACTGCTGACTGTCAGCAGTTTGAATCCAGAGAGAGTGGGTTGAGCTCCCTCTGTCAAGTCCAGCTCCCCATGCGGGGACATGAGAGAAGCCTCCCACAAGAATGGCCAAACATCAAACTTATGGGAGTCCCCTAGGCAACATCCTTGCATATGGCCAATTCTCTCACACCAGAAGCAACTTGCAATTTCTCACATTGCTTCTGACAGGAAAAAGAATTGCTTTCCCATATTTCTATATAGCATAACATGACACTTCAATTTTCAGATGCATTCTTTTTTCCTCTGTTCAGCTATGCTTTGCTTTGCTTATCTATCAACAAGATGGTAAAAAGTAAGGACTAATAATTTCATTAGTTAGAATGAAGGCAATCTGTGTGTATGTAAATGGAAAGCTATTAGTATTTTTTTCTAAATTTGTCACCTGAAACTGCTTGCATTGCTTGTTTTTGAGTCAGCTGCAATTCAGGAAAGCAAGGTGAGCGTGAGGTATGCTTGTCTGCTACTGTGCCAAAAGAAGGCCAATTCTCAACAGTTTTGTAGACTTTCATAAAAAGATAACATCCAGGAAACTCTTACTTCCCAACAGCATCACCCTATCTGTGGGTTGGCTTCTAAAATAGACCAGGCTCGGAGATGTTACTTAGTTGTATTTTCTTAAGTAAGTAGCTAATCTACCATTCCAGCTATGGTTGATAGGCTGATAGGAAGGGTGGGTAGAGGCAGAGGCAATTACTGCCCCATCATTTACTATGGTGGCTTGTATAGAAACTTCCACTCACGGGAGGGTTGCTGCCTCCTCCCAGGTTGTAGCCGAGCTCACAGGGCAGCTCCCGGAGGAATTTGCTGGCAAATTCTGGGTAGAGTTTGAGGCTAGCCAGGAGGCCAGGCAGGCTCAGGCATTGCAGGTCACAGTAGGTCAGACCTCGCACATCCGCATTGGCTGGAACCACCTGGTCCCTGGATGAGATGTGGCAACCAATCAGGTCCCCCTTTCCTAGCAGAAGAAAAAAGGGAAATCAGCAAAAATGCATGGCTTCTAGTTCTGATCAACATGTGTCTTACAGCTTGGAAAAGTTACTTTTTTGACCTAGAGTAATTTGCATACCTGTAGAGTCAGAACTATGGACTTTGGGAAATGTAGTCCAACCTCTGAATTTGGAAAAGGAGAACCAAATGGGGAAGGGTTTGGGTGCAGCTATTGGAAAACATTCCTTTTTAATGTCAAGGAGCGGGGCAAGTGGGCAGACCTTTCTTAGGGGTATAGTACTTAGGAATGCCTTTGTTGGGGTTCACATTTAAACATGCCCTCTGTATATGGTTCCCATGGAACTGTGGCATGTCAAAGAAAATATTCCATCTTAGCTCCCAGAGCCTCCCCACTGGAGTATTGTAGTCATACACTCTTTATTTATTTCCAAACACTGTCACACATGCACATCTATGTGCACAAAAGCTCTGTTCTTGGCTCTGTCAAATCGGATGGGAAAAGATGTGCAAGCACTGTACCTAGGATGGCCAGGACAGTGCCATCTTTGAGCACCTCCATGGAGCCTGAGCAGATAAGATAGACGGCCTGAAGTGCATCCCCCTGCCGGATGAGGTATTCCCCAGGCGTGCAGAAGGAAGTGCGGACACTGAGTGAAAGGGAGCGGTGGCAGCCCCGGCTTGCTCCCTCGAAGAGGGGGAGCTGGAGCAGGTCCTTGTGCAGGTGAAGGGCAATGTCAGCACGCAGCTCCTCTGGAAGGCTCTGCAGCAGCTGGAAAATGCAGAAAAAATGGAAGGGCAAAACAAGGACAGAGAGAAGGCTGGTAGTCAATTTTAACCTGTCAATTTTACCTGCATTTTATTGATAAATTTTAGGCTGCATTTTACATGTGTGCATTTGGACATTCACATTCAATCAATATAACTGTTTGGAACTTGTGATCATACTCTGAATCAGTTGGTTTTGCCTTAGCTGGTACCATTGACCTCTCTGGCATTATTGGCTGCATAATATAATAATACTTATTTTAAATGAATTTCAGTAAAAAGTAAGGCAAAGGTTTCCCCTTGACAAATGTGATCTACTCACATTTGCATGTTTTTGAACTGCTAGGTTGGCAAAAGCTGGGGCTAACAGCAGGAGCTCACCCCACTCCCTGGATTTGAACTGCTGACCTTTCAGTCATCAAGTTCAGCAGCTCAGAAGTTTAACCCGCTGCACCACCGGGGGCTCCTAAAGGAATGTTGTTGTTGCTTATATAATTTATGTCTAATGTCGGCTATGTTAGATTTGTTTTTTGGGGGACATGGTTGTTTGTTTTATGTTTCTTATTTTGCCATCTTTTGTTGTGAATCCACCCTGAGTACACTTCAGGAGATAGGGCAGAATATAAATAAAGTTGTTGTTGTTGTTGTTGTTGTTGTTATTATTATTATTATTATTATTATAGTGTTTTGTTTTATTTTGCTGTTTTAACTATGTTTTGTATCCTGCCTTGAGCCGCAAGAAGAGGTGGGCAATAAATATATGAATAGCAGCACTATTTCTGCTTTCCCCAATATTTGGATACATTCAAAAAGATCCAAAGGAGCTACCACCACAATATGGTTAAGACGAGTGGATAACTTGAGGCTCGCCTCATGTTCTTGGACTGCAGCTCTCATCAGCTTTACCCAGGAAAAGGTATGATGCCAGTTACAGTTCCACTGTTTCATTTTAAAGCAAGTTCCTAGAACTTATGGCTGCAAGAACATGCTCTGAAAAGATGTGAACATCATGGAACATGGGGAGACTGAATAAAATCTCTCTTTTGAGAAAAATCTGTTGTTCCTATTCAGGGACAAGTGAAGCAGAATAAAAGTATGCAAGACAAAAACAGACATGCTTGTAAAACCTTAATAATTTAGACCATTTTTGGGTGCAATAAGTGTGAACAGCCTGCCCAAACCTTGAATTGATAGTGATTTTACAAACTAACCCGGTGCATAGAGGCATCAACTTCCTTATCTTTACCTTCAATTTTATTTATTTGTTTATTTAATTAATTCATATCAAAAGCATTGCATAAATTAGGATAAAAGTGATACAAATAGATGGAACACAAGCAGCTAAATATCTTTTGACCAAAAACGGGTAACAGCAACTGCATTGTCTATAGCCATCAACAATTCTTCCTCTGTACATGAGGCAGGGCATAGTGGACAAGCATACAGATGCAGAGTTGTCTGTTCTGCTCCACAGTCACACTATTTTGATTTCATTCCTTTTCATTCGTTGTGCTCCATTTCCTTTAATCATTTAGGACTTTGCAGGATTCAATCTCACCTCCCGGGTATCAATGCCATTGTTGGCACTCCAGGTGGCCTGGAAGTACTCAAGCATCCGCTGCTTCAGTGGTGGAGGGATGCGGTGAATGCGGATGTAGTCACGCAGGTCACGCGTGCGGCTGTGATAGAGGAAGCGGCGAGCATACATGCGCTGGATGATGGCAGTCACATTGCCAAAGACTACTGCGTGCATCAAGGCTGGAGCAAGGAGGAAAGGAAGAGGAAGGAAAGAAAAGAGACAAAGGACCAGAGTCTGGCAAATGTGACAAAGAATGTCCCATTACCACCAGCACATACTGTGTGAGAAATAACAATGTAAGGTAGGTAAGAGAAGTTTCCAAGCTGCAGTAAGCTAAATATGCAATCCAAAAGAAACAACAAGGCCATAGCATTGAGCCATGCCAGTCAAAGTGGTGCCAAACTGCATTATTTCTTTAGATTGGCCCTGCTCCTGAACATTAATTGCATGACTTTCTCTGCCCAACCTCTCCCTCTTTCCCTTTCACCTTTTCTAATCTAAGAGTTTGATTTAAGTTTTAATATAAACAGGGAGTTTTCAATCCCTGCTCCTCACTCATTCCACCAGCTAAAAACGAGAATCAAAAAGCCATCTGCTTCTCTTTTCTGCTATGATGAAAAAATACATAAAAACCACCTGGCTGGATTTGGGTTTGATACCAAAATAAAGAGCACAATAATAGAAGGTGCCTAGATGGTTGTCATGATAACAGATGTCCCAAAACCTGGCATAAAAACTGAGAATGGGGAAAACAGGAGCAAGAGGCAGGCGATGGCTTCCTAGTAGTGATGTTTGGACATTTCTAGTCCACAGATCATTGTCACTGTTGCCCTCAACGCCCGACCTCCTGGCTCGGGGCCCCACTCACCCCCCACCAGCATGGTGCATATGGAGAAGATCTTCTCTGAGTCAGTGTTGGCCGACACGTTGCCAAAGCCCACGCTAGTCAGGCTGCTGAGGGCAAAGTAGAGGGAGGTGATGTACGAGCTACGCAAGGAGGGCCCCCCCAGCAGCTCCCACATGCTGCCGTTCAGAGGAGGGCCCATCTCATTGGCAGAACTGTCTTCTCCACTGGTGTTCCTCTGCGCCAGGTAGTAGGGAGTTGAGAGGCGGCGAGCCAGCTCCTGCAACCAACCTGAGAAGAAGAGGAGGACAGAGGGGGTTGAGGAAGATGGAGGTTTGGTTGCAGTAATGTCCTGCACCATGACCCCTTTCCCACCAGGTTGGCCTTTTTTGTCACCAATCTAACCACCCTTCCTTGTGGGAGACTGGCAAACTACCTTCCTAGACTACAACTCTCAGAACCCTTCAGCCAGCATGGACTCTGGGAGTCCAAAAACTGAACTGATCCAAGTTTCATCCACCAATCCTACATAGCTGCAGCTCCCTTTACAAGCCAGAAGTCACCAATTTGAAGAGTGAACTTCCAGATGAGGTGAAGGAGATCCATTCAGTATCTCATGGAGAGCACTAGAGCTCAGGGAGAATGATGTTTCCATGAATCTCCCAACAGCAAATAGGTCTTTGACTAGCAGAAGAAGGACGTATCTCACAACTCCTTGTTTCCTCAGTTACAAGTTTAGTGCGCTTCTTTGCTATATAAAGCCATTGTCTCAGGATGTATTTATTTATTTACCACATTTATATCCTGCTCTTCTCAACCCTGAAGGGGACTAAGGGTGGCCTTACAAAGGCAACAATTAATGCCATATATTAATACAGCAGTAAAATAAAAACGTTAAAACCAAACCCATTAAAAACATAGCATTAAAACATCAATTAAAATCACATCATCCAAATAGAGATATTACCTAGTTACATCCCCTTAACTAAATTGCTTTTTGTGTGTCAGGAGCAACTTGAGAAACTGCAAATCGCTTCTGGTGTGAGAGAATTTGCTGCCTGGAAGGATGTTGCCTAGGGGTACGCCCAGATGTTTTGCCACCCTGTGGGAGGCTTCTCTCATGTTCCTGCCTGAAGGAAACTGCAGGAGCTGCCAATTAATTGTCACTATTTAGTTTCCAACATCTGCCAAACAATTGTAATTATAAAATATTTTATCACCAGCTAAGTGCACATGGATTATTTCTTTGTTAGAATAGCTGTTGTAGCATAATATGCATCCACGTTTCCTTTTGCGTGCACACAATTTCATCCTGCATCCATGATCCATTGAGTCACACGTGGGCTGCTTTCAGATCATGTGTAACTCAGTGTATGCCCCATTGCACCCTCCTATTTCAAGTTGTCCCTCTCACACACCTATTCCCGGAAGCTGGGAGGGGCTGCTCTCAACCTCACGCTGCCCGATGAAATACCAGACGCAGGCGACCCAGTGAGCCAGGAGCGCAAAGACGGTCATGAGCAGGGTGAGCACCACAGCACTGTACTGTGAGTATCTATCCAAGTTGGGCAGCAGGCGCAGCAGGCGCAAGAGTCTCACAGTCTTGAGTAAGTGAGCACCAAAGTACTGGGAGGGAGAGAAAGCAGGAGTAAATGTTGGCTCGAGTCACACAATCGATGCTGGAACAAATGAGCAAAACAAAACTAATAGGAAGCAAGGGAACAGGTTTTAGCAGACGAGAATCTTGTTAGGTTGTGAGTTTTCCGGGCTGTATGGCCATGTTCCAGAAGCATTATCTCCTAATGTTTCGCCTGCATCTATAGCAGGCATCCTCAGAAGTAGTGAGGTCCTCTGAGGACCTCACAACCTCTGAGGATGCTTGCCATAAATGTAGGCCTGGAAAACCCAGAACAACCCAGTGATTCTGGCCATGAAAGCCTTCGACAATATACAGAATCTTGTTAAGTTGGTGGAGAACTTCACCCCTAGTAAGGGGCGTTGCCATAATGTACATGCTGAAAAAGCTTTCTATTCCCAGTGAGCTGAATATAGTGACCCAGCAGTCTATTTCCAACAATAAAATACAGTGTCCTTCAAACCAATTTCAGGACCCATTTCTAAATTCAAGATTCATCAATGTTGGACTATTTCTGTCCATAGAGATGAAGTCGTTAGTCCTCATGGGATTCTCTCATATTCATGTATGTGTATATGTGTGTGTGTGTGTGTGTGTGCGTGCGCGTGCATATATATATATATGTATATGTATATATAAACAGTTCTCAAACCATAAAAATTTACAACACCCCTCTGATGCATTACAGTTGGACTATTTTTCTAGAGCACCTGGAGCAGAGAGCACTTTTGAGCATTTGAGGGTTCCTGAGTTCCATTTCATAAGGCACATTTTTTGTGGCACAATGACATATCAACAACTTGTTTAAAAAACAGAAGAAACACAACAAAGAAACTGTTTCCAGCAAACAATGTAGACGAGAGCCCCAAATAACTGTGTTGAGTGGAAGCTTTTGCCCAGCAAAAATTCTTCACCTCCTGCTTATTGTAAATGGAAACTGAGCTGCCAGTAGAGGGTTTTTAAAAGACACATTTAGATGCCTCAACCTCCAGCGCATGCCACAATGAACCCCCAATACCCTACTCACCACATTGACCTGGAAGGCATAGAGAAGGTCAAAGGGCAGGGCTGCCAAGAGGTCCAGAACAAACCAACGGGTCAGGTAGTGCAAGAAAATGGCACGAGGGTCAAACACCACCTGCCCTGATTTGCTGACAAAAGTAGTGCGGAAATTCAGCACAATATCTGGAAAGAGAAGCAAGAAAAAATCACGACAGTTTCATGGGAGCCATCGAGTCAACCATTGGCTCTGGAAGGACAACATATGTCTGAATAGGGAAAGTGCTGGGGGAGAAATGCCTCTTCCATGTAAAATACATAATTTCTTAGAGATGAACCAAAAGGTATGAGTCAGGAAGGGGCAGATGTGGGACATTTTGAGCCAGTTGTGCTGAGTGCTAGAGGTGAAGCATAACAGGAGCAACATGGTCCACTTCAGGACACTGAGCAAGGTCCAGTGGCTGTGCAGACATTCAGGTATGGGAGAGACAACACTTGCTGGCTATGGGTTTTCCTGCAGTTCCTTTGCAATCGCTTGCTTTTTAGGCTTACAGATTTTGAGGAGGAGGGGAGAGAGCACAGCCCAAATCTCCAACAGTGTCTTTCAAAGGAAAATAACTCATTGAAAGCTGCAGCATGCTCCCTACTTGCCAAGGAAGGAAGAGCAAAACATGACTGAGATATTCCCATTCCTGTTTACCAAAGTCATTGTTTCTCACAAAGGAATCATTTCTTCATGCACTCCAAAAACAAGTTACAAAAAGAGAAAGCTGCTTTATTTTGGCACCTCATTGTCTAATCCAGTGGTTCTCAACCTGTGGGTCCCCAGATGTTTGGGCCTTCAACTCCCAGAAATCCTAACAGCTGGTAAACTGGCTGGGATTTCTGGGAGTTGTAGGCCAAAACATCTGGGGACCCACAGGTGGAGAACCACTGGTCTAATCTGACTGGCAATTATCTTCAGAGATAGCTATGTTGGCCATGCAGGAAAATACAACAAAATTCAAAATATGTATTATGATAATACCTTTATTAGGTGCTAAATACCAAAAGGTGCTAAATACAATACATTAGTTTCCAAAGCCCACCTACTTCTTTATCAGACAAAGTTGTTAAAATCATATAGGAGAAGAAATGCGACAGTGCTGGAGTCATGGCTTTGCATCAAGATGTTTGTTTTAGTTATCATGCTATACTGTTATAATTCTGTCATTCCACATTAACTGCTATGGAGACATTTTTTGGAATCTTGGGATTTGCAGTTTAGGGAGGGATGTTTCACATTCTCAGCCAGAAAACTCGCAGGCCTTACTAAACTACCATTCCAAAGAACGTTTCCATGTCAGGTTAAAGTGGAATAATAGCAGTATAACAGTGTTGTGTGATAAAGTCCTCAGTATTTCAGAGGGTTGCTACAGACAGGAGCCTCACCCCTTCCTGGTCATGTGGGATTGAGAACAAAGGCAGAAAACAACAGGCAATCAAATGTCCATCACCATAAATTACTCCCATTCCTGCTCTTTGCAAAGCAACAAGCCCTTCTTTTTAGGCAGAAGACAGCAAGTCTTTCAAGAAGCCTTTGCTGCACCACATTGAAGAAAAGTTGAAGTGCTATAGCAGGTTAAATTTGTCAGATTCGAAGGTACCAAGCCTCCAGGGCAGAGAAAGGTCTTTCACATTAGTTGCTCCCTGGTACCTTTTCCCCCCAGACTGGGAGATCCCAAGGCTGAAATTGAAACCTGTCACTTCCAAAGAAAGCATGTTGCCGCTGAGGAATGTTGTCCTCATTTCCACCATTACCTCATTTTCAATCACTGTTCTCCTTACCTAGGATAAAAAGGATCTCAACAGAAAGATCACAAATGCTGGGAGGTGCACGAACAGCCTCCGGAAGCCCTTCCTCCCTGATGCCACTGAAGCAGACACTGTAGGGCACTGTAACAGCCACGTACAACGTGGCCAAAAGAATCAGTCCATCCCAGCCAGCCTTGAAGGTCCCGTAGTGCAAGAGGATGAATGGTGATTTGCGTGCTGCAGCCACTTTGTATTCAGGCAGGGCAGGCTTCTCCCCAAAGACTCCCTGTGTAGTAAGAGCGGGGAGATGTCAAGAAGATAAATCACTGAATTGCAGGACTCGTGTGCCCTATCCCATTTTGTTCACACACAGATCAAAACCTAGAGCATAGTATGCTATAAGCAGACAGCAAAATGTTATGTCACAAGAAGAGCTATTCAAGCCATTGGCAATTCAAGAAAGTGAGCAAACCTATACACTGAGGGGAAACATAATACAAATCCCAGAATAATAACAGACCAAGTTATATTCTTTATCACTTGAAATCTATACAAATACATTGCTTTATATAATTAAAATGGATGAACTGAAAACTATTTATCTTGTCCATTACAGGTTCCAAGGAGTTTTACTAGCTACACAAGGCAGCCACTCCCTCTTACTCACCCTTGGTATGAAACACTCCTGTCCCATTCTACACTGTCAAATAATGCAGTTTGAAACTGCATTATCTGATCAGTGTAAATTATATAATGTAGATCAATGAAGTTAAGATTATAGATGGGGCCTCTGACTTGGAACTTAAGGGCAGAAAACCTGGAAATTATAGCAAAGGTGTTGCCATCTCCTCCTGAAAGCATCAACAGCACCATCTACTTCCCTCATCCAAGCCCCTTCTCCCATTTGTCAAGAATATAATTTCCTCAGCCTAGGAGGGAACAAAAACTTGATGCCTCCTTGACACATGGTTATGTGTATCAGGTACATAAATATCCAGAGGTGAACCTGAACATAAAGTGTTCTCTATTTAAATATATGAAACACAGATGGGTGGCATTCATATTTTGGTATGCTTCCCAATCCCATCAATGAGACATATGTACAAAGGCCTTGTTTCCATGATTGTTCTCCTTATTTGGATCTGGGCAAAATAATATATTCGTAACTGTAACCACTTTTCAAAGAGCACTTATGTACCTTCAAGTTGCTTGTTGACTTATTGTGATCCCATTGATTGCATGATATTTTCTTAGGCAAGGAATACTCAGAGGTGGTTTTGGCCATTCCTTCCTCTGAAATGCATTCTACAACACCTAGTAGTCTCCCATTCAAGTAATGACTAGGGCCCACACTGCTCAACTTCCAGATGAAATCTGGCCCATTAGGGTATTTAGTCATAGGGCCACCATATACCACCACCACGATCAGAGCAGCAGAGTATCATATTTCAATATCATATCATTTTATATTATAATTATACATATCAAGTTGAAAATTGGATGACAGCATCTAATTTTTACTATTTATTTTGTAAATGAATGAATAC